TKSKGYTKCWTCTTYTTGGGYCTGTTTCTTGTGGATTYAACWTCGATTCATGGAGAAGATATAAAAAGATCAGATTTCCCAMATGGGTTTCTGTTTGGAGTCTCTACCTCTTCCTATCAAGTATCATCTCTTTCCTTTCTCTCCATTTTCAAATTAGGATTCTGAACTCAACAATGGAGTTTCTATGACTTCAACAATGGAGTTTCTGTAAATTGGTGTTTATATTGTGTTGTAGATTGAAGGTGCATATCTTGAAGATGGTAAAAGTCTCAATAATTGGGATGCTTTTGCTCTTACCCCAGGTTTACAACACCTCTGATATTATATGTATAATATATATATGTATATATATATATATATGTGTGTGTGTGTCAGTGTGTGTATATATATGTATCAATTGGGTTTTTCTGGATTCATCTTTCAATCTGTCCATTTTGGTTTGTTTTTCTATGTGTAGGCAACATTAGAAATGGTGATAATGGATTCRTAGCTGATGATCATTACCATCAATATCTGGTATCTGTGTCTGATTCATGGCTTAATCATCATTAACACTTCTGATATCAATTATGATTTGCTTTGAAACAATACCTTTCACTTCCGCTACAACAACATTAGAAAGGTCGTTTGTTAACAGCTAAATAAGCTTAACGAGATTCAGCTTATTTGGTCAGCTATACATGATTGTTTGGTAACAACTCAATGATATAGAAAGTAGGCTTTTAGGAGTGAGCTTTACGTAGAAAGTCAAGTTTTTTACAAATGTGCCCCTCCCATTTAAAAAAACCGTTCGTTCCATCTATGAAAAACCCCCTCAAACAAAAATCTTTTTAATCTATACAGACAAATTAATCTACACAGACAGCTTTATCCATGCAAGACTTTTTACGGCCTATAAAAACCGATATTGTGGTGTTCTCCCAAGATTCTGTTTCTAACTAATCGAACCCTGCAGACAGATATTGAAATTATACAAGCTCTTGGTGTAGATGCTTATCGATTCTCTATATCATGGGCAAGAGTTCTTCCAAGTATGATGACAATAACTTTATAAACAGTTGATAAAAGATCGATTTTTTAAGAATCTTGATCCAAGATCTTGTTGAGTCGTACCAGGAGGAAGATTCGGTGAGGTTAATCCAAACGGGATTCTTTTTTATAACAAAATCTTGGACAATCTCTTACTCAAAGGTAATATATCTTTGCATCAATTCGTTAATCTCATTAAAATTACGCACTTTAACCTTAATTTGCACACGTTGTAGGTATTAAGCCATTTGTAACGATTCACCATCATGATATTCCTCAAGAACTTCAAGATCGATATGGATCTTGGCTAAGCCCGTTTATGCAGTATGTAAAAAGAACTTGCATAGTTTCCTTTCCTAAGATTTGTGTAAGAATACGTGGAACTCATTATATTACTCTTTAAAAGAGCTTTGAGACGAGAAACGAGGTTTCAACATATATTGAGGAGAAATGGTCAATCTATCCGATATGGGACTACAACCTCCTAAAACAAAGGCTAGATGGGCACTTATTGTCCCAGATTGTTGAGTCCCAAACTTGGCTGACCTTGGCTCTGATACCATGTGAGAATGTATGGAACTTCATTATATTACCCTCCAAAAGAGCCCAAGTGGAAAGTAACATGGGCCTATGTGGGGCATAAGGCCTACTTTCAAGAGTGATATGATGGGGTTCTATATATGCTTACATGGTACCAGAGTCGAGGTTTACCACTCTAGGGACTCGACACTCGGGGGGCAATCTGTACCCTTCTAGCTCCCTGTCCACATTCTGGTGCTATTTGTGTCCGTCTAGCCTCCGTTGGAGGATCTGTTAGAGTCCCACATCGGTTAGACTTGAACTATTTCTTGTCTATATGTGTTGGAACCTCCCTTCTCTCCTCAAAAGGCTCTTTTGCAGAGTATTCTAACGAGGTTCCACTTATTCTCACAATTTGGTTTAATATATTTGTTGGTTTTCAGGGAAGATTTTGTCCACTACGCAGAAACGTGCTTCAAGTACTTTGGTGATCGAGTGAAGCATTGGACCACGATCAACGAGCCAAACCTGTTTACAAAAATGGCCTACATGAATGGAAAGTATCCACCCGCTCGCTGTTCACAACCATTTGGCAATTGTTCAGCTGGAAATTCTGATATCGAGCCTCTTATCGTTATGCATAACTTGTTATTGGCACATGGCAAGGCTGTGAATCTATATCGAAAAGATTATCAGGCAATCAAGTGACCTTATTTACCTTTTTCTTTTCTGGTGAGTGTCCGTTAACTAGAAAAACGTACGTGCAGCATGAACAAGGTGGGTCAGTCGGGATTGTGGTTGATTGCTTAATGTACGAGCCTCTAACAGATGACAATCTTGATCAAGAAGCCGCTAACAGGAGCTTGGCTTTCGCTATCGGCTGGTACATATATATACATTCAGATTTTCTGACTTCCATGGATCAAAACAAGATTTGTGGAAAGTTTACGAGAACCATAAATATTTTGAGAATCTGAGAACCAACTATTTCATGTATTATTCATGATGAATAACCGTGTATTATTCATGATGTTATTCATCAAGAATATCATATGTTTTCATAATTTATGATATCAAGCATTTTTATTATTAAATTTCATTAGAATGTATAAATAATTTAAAGTTCTGTTTTCGTTATCGTAAAATAGGGCATTGGACCCTCTAATCTTTGGTGATTATCCCTCGGAAATGCGCCGGTATCTTGGAAATCAACTGCCAAGATTCTCCGATGCCGAAAAGAAGTTTATGGCAAACAGTATCGACTATATTGCAGTCAACCATTATTCAACTGCATATGCAATAGATTGCTTTCATTCTAGTTGTAGTTTAACCGCCAACCGAGCAATTAACGGTTTTGTAGATGCAACTAGAGAACGAGACGGTGTTCAAATTGGCGAACCCGTATGTATCCCTTTTTGCCCCTCGTTTACTATTTGTTTTTCATTTGTTTCGTTGTTTATGTGAGAATATATGGAACCCCATTATATTACTTTCTAAAAGATCCCTTAAAGAGATAAGGAGGTTAAGGGGAAATGGTCTAAAGGGCCTGTTTATTAGCAGCTTAATAAGCTTAATGGGACTCACAATTTATTTGGTCAGCTATATATGATTGTTTGGTACTGGCTTAATAATATAGAAAGTGGCTTATTCAGTAAGCTTCTAGGAAGAAGCTTAATGCAGAAAGCTAAGTTTTTTCCAAACCTACCCCTCCCAATTAAAAAACAAACTCCTTCCATCTATGAAAAACACTCCCAAACAAAAACTTTCACAATCTATACAGACTGATTAATCAACACAGACGGCTTTATCTATACTGGATTTAATAGAAAAACAACCAAACAACCCCTAAGTCTAGCCAATGTGGGACTAACAATTCTGTTGTGTTGACAGACGGGTATTTCGATGTTGGCGGTAGTTCCAAGAGGCATCGGAGAAATGGTCGGCTATCTAAAGAAGAGATACAACAACAAACCCATGTTTATTACTGAAAATGGTATGCAAAATGTATATGAAACTTCATCTATGCCACAGTTGACTTTTGTAAGTCAATCCTAACAGATACAAATTCGATGTTTATATGGTTATTTGTATCTAATTAAACACCAAACTTTTCCTGGTTTCTCACTACCTGTCATATAATATAAATTCATGTGTCAAATTTTTTCTGAAACTGCATGAATTCATTTCAATTTTGAAATTCAAAAAATTCCCATTTGACCTCTAAAGTCAAACTTTATGAAACATAAGAACTGGACTGCAGTTTTTTGATGATTTCATATATGCATTAACCTGTTTGCAGGGTATTCTGAACCAAAAGTGCAAGATGTACAAGTTCAAGATATACGAAAAGATGTCAAGCGAATAGAATTTCACAAAACGTACCTGTCGTCTTTGGCCCGAGCAATCAGGTTATCATATCGTATTACTGTTTACTCTATGTGATAATATGTGGAACCCTATTAGATTACTCTTTAAAAGAGACATAGAAAAAGGGAGGTTCCACGTTCCAACCTATAGAGGACGGATAGTTCAAAAGTATAGCCAATGTGAAACTCTAACACGCCCCCTGCAACGGTGGCTACACGGCTACAGATTGACCCAAAGTGTCGAGTTTCTAAAAATAGTATATTTTGGCTCTTATACCATGTGAGATTATGTGGAACCTTATTAGATTACTCTTCAAAAGAACTCTTGAGGAGAGATGGAGATTGAGGAAAAATTGTCTGTTTGTTAGCAGCTTAATGAGACTTACAGTTTATTCGGCCAGGCCAGCCATACATAATTATGTGGTACTGGCTTATGATATAGAAAGTGGCTTATTCAGTAAGCTTCTAAAGGGGAGCTTTATGCAGAATGCCAAAAAAAATTCAAACATGTCTCTCTCAATTAAAAAATATGCTCCTTCCATCTATGGAAAAATCCTCCAAAACAAATTTTTTTCTCAATATATACAGATAGATTAATCCATACAGACAACTTTGTCCATGCAAGACTAGATGAAAATCAACCAAACATACCCCCAACTTCCATACTGTTTTGTCTGTTTGAATATTGAAAAAAATGGCATTTTGATAGGGATGGTGCCGATGTAAGGGGCTACTTTGTGTGGACGTTGATGGATGATTTCGAATGGATTCATGGATACGATGTAAGATTCGGATTATTCTACATTGACCGTCAAACGCTTGCTCGAGTCCCCAAGTTATCAGCAAGATGGTATCAAGATTTCTTGAAAAACAACACTCAGGCACCAGAAATCCGAACATCGAACCTGGCACACAAGCAAGCATATTCATAATCATTCAGACGTACAATTCCTTGTTGTGAACTTGCGAACTTTTATATAACTCAGCCACGTTACGTAAATATACAAATTTGATTGGTTTGTTGTATCACTGTTTTGTACTAATTACGGAACATGATAGGCTTTGTTGCTACACATGCACCTATAAGCCACAGGACAAGCCTCGGCCTCCGTGGGTCCCAAAGAACAACCAAACCGCACTCTCACCAAGCGGCACGGCAAACACGATCCGCATGCACGCATGCAATTGGGCAATCTTGAACCTGCAATTTGCAGCGTATCCGCTCTATGATTGGTAAAAACGACCCTCGTTCCTTCCGCTTGAAAACCACGTGGATCAACGGTGCCTGTTACATAGTCGGTAAATATAAATGGGACCCACAAAATAAAGATGGGAAAAATAAAACTTACACATAATAAGAAGTAGACTGGATGCCAACAACATAAAAGAGAACAGAAAGTTCATTTTGGGCTGATTTTTGTGTGTATTTTGGTGAAAATGAGGATATAAAAGGGAAAGATGAAGTATAAAGGGAGTCACAGGATGGATGTGTGTGTGTTCACATGATTTTCTATGTTGTAGTTATGTTTGTGGGAAGCCCATTAAGGCCCATATAATGGTTTAGACTATAGAAGGAGACTTGGAATTGGATCATATAGTATTAATGGGCCTTCTAGTATTAGCCCAATTCAATGAACAAGATCACATATTGCACAATGCACAATAACATTTAAACAATAAAATATGGATAAATATTATTTATATATATATATATATATATATATAATTGGGATCACGTGAGACCAACTTGTTTTTGTGAGATCCATGAGATCATTTTTTTACACTTGAATCTGTGAAGATAACCTTCACAGCAAAACGCTGTGAAGATAACCTTCGCAATGTTTTTGCTGTGAATGTTCAAATTTTTTTTAACTTCACAACGTTTTGTTCTGAAGTTTCAAGTGTAAAAAAGTGGTCTCACGAAAACAGACTGGTCTCACGTGAACCTAACCCTACAACAAAACACCGTGAAGGTAAAAGAAAGTCGAACCTTCACTCCAAAAACACTGTGAAGGTTACCTTCACATGCGTTTTGTTGTAAAGTTTCAAGTGTAAAAAAGTGATCTCATGAGTCTCACTAAAAAAGTCTGGTCTCATATGATCCTAAGTCAATTTCTGGTATGTGCCTCCACCAACCAAAAAAGTATCTTGAAATCAACCAAAAAAATTAAAAAAACCTCTCAAAATCAATCAAAAATATATATCGAAATCGACAAAGAAAACTTAAAAATCTCTTGAAATCAACCAAATTTTTTTTAAAATCCAGTTGTAATTAGGGCAAAAACACACCATGTAGCTTTACGGGCCTTTAATCTACCTTATAGGTATCCACTGGACAAAAATCATGGATTTGTCACTTTACGGATGTTTTTACAAACAACGTTGGCATCTTATAATTTTAAAACTATATGAACAAAAAGGGTTATTTTATTTGTAGTTTATTTAATAGATTAATTATTACAATATTTAATATATTTTGAAACATTAAATAATTTATATTTTTTAAAAAAAAATTAGAAACGGACCACCTCTGAGAATGATGGAATTATATGATTATGGCGGTTGCGGTTGCGGTTGCTTGCTGCCATAAAGTGGTTGCCTTCGAGCTTCCAACCAACATCAACAATGGTGGTGGAGTGATTATGAAGTAATATCTCTCCTACTCTAGCCAGAATAATGGCAAGTAAACTGTAACCATCGTAATCGGTTTGGAGAAGACGCAAAATCGACATTCCATCAAAGTCTGATTTGATCCGACCAATAATCTCCACCTCCTTCGTCCACATGATTATACTGCTTCGAAGAACAGTAATGTGTGCTTTTTGAATCAGTTAAGCATCATCATATTGTGGTGGATAGATCGAGGATGGATTCGAGAAGCCGGCTCGACTATGCTTTGTTTCAGTTAACTCCTACTAGAACCAGGTATTAAAACCCTAATTTTAGTTCTTCCTTTGTTGATGCTTCTTGTGCAATGCTAGTTATTACTTTGGTTTCTTCTAATGCTCTGTTTGTAGTTTCATTTTCTACATTTTGATTTATGATTTGATCCATTTGGAAGATGTGATCTGGTGATATGTGCGGGTGATTTCAAAGAAAAACTTGCATCTGGACTTCTGGAACCTTTTATTGCTCATCTCAAGTTTGCTAAAGATCAGATTTCGAAAGGAGGCTACTCCATTACGCTTTCTGCTTCTGATTCTTCTTGGTTCACCAAATCCACTCTTGAAAGGTCTCTCGTTGTTATTGCAGTTATATTTGGGTTTGTTAACTTTCTCTTGAATGATGTCTGTGTACTTTACCAATGCTGGTTTTTGGATCTCACATCTGTCTTTAATTATTGTTTATTCTTTTGAATAGATTTGTGAGGTTTGTAAATACACCGGAGGTTCTTGAAAGATTCATCACGATTGAGAGAGAGATCGCCAACATTGATTGCTCAATAAACACCAGTTCATCATCAGACTCACAAAGTGCGTAGCATTCCTAAAAAGGGAAATCGACTGAAATAGTCAATCTCATCAAACAAATTCACTTTTTACCACTTTTCATATCATCTTTCCGAAATATCTGGTCTTTACTCGGATGCTTTTGGCATTTGCGTAGACTTATTTCTAGAAGAAAAAATGTCCTTGTGCATATGCGTAATGATTCTTTAACAAAAATCTGAATCTTTATGCAAAAAAAATCTTTTTCCTTTTTTGTAGTCTGAACATCGAGATTTGCGTAAACTCTAGCTAAAATGGGAATTCAATTGAAAAAGCGGCTAAAAAGGTGAAGTTGGTTGGAGAGATTGACTATTTTGTTCAATTTCCCATTATTTAAATATGTTGGTGTATACTCATAATGGAAGAAGGCTAAATACCGCGAGAAGGTAACAATTGAATCATTGAAATAATTTATTTGAAGATGCATATATGAACCCATATGAATAATCTATATCGTCGGTTTCGCATATGCATCTTCAAATAGATTTCGTCGGGGTTTTTTAATGGATTCACATATAAACCTTCTCTTAACCATCCACTCTTGCCTATTTGAACCAACCCTTATACTCGTTCGAATCCATGATTGAAGTCCATTTAATTCTAAACTTTCAAAGATTATATATCTTGGATTCAAAATCTAAGTTGATGTTTTAAGTTTTTAACTCAGAAACATTTTGTTGGCGAATATGTCCATCAGGGTGCCCTATAGTTCATATCCATTTTGAAGTTGAAATTAATCAAAATGACTCTTAAAAATCAAAAGTTGAGACCAATTTGGAATGGGTGTAGCATTTCCCTGTTGGAACTATTTATAACGACAAGTTTTTTCATCATTCCGCTTAGCTGTCTATGGGTTCGGAGAACACTCAAACGAGTCATCTACTTCTGCCTACAAGGTATATCAACATTCTACAGCTTTCACTTTCGATTCAATCTTTGTTCAACACTTGCTTGGAAGATTACTCATATATTCCCACTTTCTATACATTCAGCATGAAGGTAACACAAGTGATGCCATCCATGAAGAAGATTCCAAGTAAAGTATACTTTGTGTTTAGTCTAATTCAATGAACTCAGTTATGACACATACCCTCCTTTCTCTCAAAAGAATCTAACTTTTTGATTGTTAACATTCAAACATTGTAGTTTTCAATCCACGATTGATGTAGCTGTTCTTAGTTTTCATCATATATTTAATTATTGTCATGTGGTTTTATGGTTAAAGAATTGATCAGTTCTAAGTACAACAAAAGATATTCTTCTTAATTTTCAAAGTTCAAAGAAAAACTTATTTGGCACTCAATAGTCAAGATTGGACTTCTTTTTGGATGGAGATAGTATATAGAGAAAATCCTTTGTTTGACTGATTCTTCTGGTTGTGATGGATAGGAATAGGATTCATCTTCAACGTGTTCTGGAAACTAGAAAGGCAGTGCTTCAAAAAGAGCAAGCAATGGTCTATGCCCGGGCTATAGTTGCTGGATTTGAGACAGATAACCTAGAAGATCTCATCTGTTTTGCAGATGCTTTTGGATCTCCTCGTTTAAGGTACGCATATGTTTTCATTACACATTAAGGACATGTTTGATAGCAGCTTAATGATCTTAATGGGACTGTACATAACTGTTTGGTAGTGGCTTAATGATATAGAAAGTGGCTTATTCAGTAAGCTCCTAGGTAGGAGCTTTATGCAGAAAACCAAGTTTTCTAAAAACCTACCCTCTCCCAATTAAAAAGCATGCTCCTTCCATCTATGGGAAAACACTCCCAAACAAAAACCTTCACAATATATACAAACAGATTAATCCACACAGACAACTTCATCCACACAGGACTTGATGGAAAACCAACTAAATAGCTAAGCCATGCTCAAGAATTCGTTAAGATATGTGTTCCTGAATAGCAGATATGATATCACTAACATACACTTTCGACAACAGATGGTGTCTTTTTTAAGGTCTTTCCATGCCACTATGCACTTTTGGACCTATTATCTGTGAGGGGTTGGGTTCCGGCGAAAAGGAGAGTTTAGGTGAGAAACGTAAGAAGGGATCTCCACTCTTGGATGCACATTAGGATGAGATGCACCGAGATGCACCGGATCAATCCCCGTATCAAGCGTGATTCATGGGTGGGTGTTTGAGATTAAAGGTGAATAGGTGATTAAGCGTCCGGATCCCTTCTTATGCTTCTCAGCTTAACTCTCCTTCTCACACGATCCTTCATCTATCTGTGAGATCATATCAATTTCCTTAACTTTTCCTGTTTCTGTTTACTGATGTAAAAAGACCCTGATTGGTTCGACTGTAATGAGCTTCTGATGAATAATGCAAGTTACAATACACTCAAAATCATCACACATCTGTTTCAGTTTATTTCATTATTTAACCTCATACTGAAAGTTTAAGAACTAAACTAGCATTACACCAGGGAAGCATGCTTAAATTTCATGGAATTGTGCAATACAAAGAGTAATGATAGAGTCTGGATGGATGAGGTAGCAGCAATGCAGGCATCCTCTCATTCACAATACTCCTATTTGGGAACATCTGATGGAGTACTTCCTGGGGAAGATGATCCTAGTCAAGAACTCAGGATTAATATCCAAAATGATAATTTTGCTACCAAGAAACAGAATGGTGCTGTTGATGGAAGTCATCTGCCTCAATATATGCATTTTTATCAGAGTGGCCCCATGTTTCAGCCTCCCTATCAAGGATACCCTTTTCCAGGCATGGGGGGTCCTCCATATAATCAAGGAAATCTTCCATGGTCTCAAAATGTGGAGGATTCCAGAAGAAGAGGAAAACGCTCACAAACGAAAAGATCACGAGAGTTGAAACAAGATGGTAACTTTGATTCAAGTGACTCTAGTTCTGGAAGTGATTCAGGTAGCTACAGGAGGAGTTCATCTCGGAAAGTTGTAATCAGAAATATTAATTACATCACTTCTACAAAAGATGGAGAAGCAGAATGGGTATCCGATGGCAATTCATCAAATGGTGCTGTCAACCAGGATCTTGATAGAACAGTTGAAGATAAACCAGAAGGCCAAAAGGTAACAACTCAGCAATGGGATACCTTCCAGATCCTTTTAATGAAGGATGCAGATGACAAAGTGTCTGAGGACGTGAAAAAGACTCATACTAGTGATCCTTTTATTCTCGTAGAGAGGGATTTGTTTGACGAAAACAACAATCGTCTACCTGAAATTGCCACCAAATCTTCCACCATTGGAGGACATGAAAGAGATTGGTTTTTGGGAAGCATACCAGATATTCAGGAGAAAAGCAGAGACATCTTTGAAGACCATTTCAAGTCTGTGGAAAGTACAAAAGATGTTCTTGTTGACGATCCTTTGGCAGTTCACGCTCGATCTTTAAATGAATTGTCTGATTCCCAGTTGAGGAGACAAGACATTTTAGTGGTTTCAGAGAGTAATCTGACCCAGAAAGCTCCATACTCTCCAAAGAAAAATGTTGAAGCTGAATGTGTCAATGAGGCTAGCGATCTGTGCGTAATGCTTGAAAGAGATACATCTGGACAGCAAGCTATGGCAGTTTGGACTCCAGAAATGGAGTTGGGAAATAGTAATGATAAGATCGTAAAACTGGATTGTAGTGAAGAAGGTCTTGAAAGAAAAGATTCAACCATTGAAGCAAAGTCGAAACCTTTAGTTGGATCTCTTGGAAAAAGCAAATCTAATATCATATCAGGAAGCAAGAAATCTACAGGAACCAAAACGGGCAAATCAGAGAAGGTACTTAAAGTTGCAACCTTTGTTCTATTACATTCCATGAGATGGTAATCGTTATTGTAATTTTGATGTTATTGATCACTTTGGACATAGGAAGAAGAGAAAAGAAAGAAAATGGAGGAATTGCTAATTCAACGTCAAAAAAGAATCGCTGAAAGAAGTGCCTCTACGGCAAAGACAGCTAAGAATGACAAGCCAAAAGCCGAACTTGCATCTCGAGGCATGAAAAGATCAAATAAGCCGGTCATTCGGAGTTCCACCATTGATCGCCTGTCAGCTGCACGTGTGGTTAATCCCAAGGTGTTGCCTACTGAATCAAAACATGGTAATAAACCTACAAAAGTGATCACCAAGGAGAATGGTGAACCAAAACCTGGTAAAAAACCTATGAAAGTGGCCACCAAGGAGAATGGTGAATCAAAACCTACTAAAAAACCTATGAAAGTGACCACCAAGGAGAATGGTAGATCAGAACCTGGTAAAAGACCTGCAAAAGTGCTCACCAAGGAGAATGGTGGATCAAAACCTGCTAAAAAACCTATGAAAGTGTTCACCAAGGAGAATGGTGAATCAAAACCTCCCAAAAAACCTATGAAAGTGATCACCAAGGAGAATGGTGAATCAAAACCTCCTAAAAAACCTATGAAAGTGATCACCAAAGAGAATGGTGAATCAAAACCTCCGAAAACACCTATGAAAGTGACCACCAAGAATGGCATTTCAAGTACTTTGTTTTCCCAAAGAACAGTTGGAGTTGGAAAAAGAGAAGCGAAACCACAGAAGGTTGAACATCTAGATAAGGATATTGGTTTAAAGAATTCAAATGGACCGAAGAAGAAGATTGTTGTTCTCACTAATGCCAAGCAGTTGCCTAGAACATCTCCAATCAAGAAAATTGGCAATGGGGTTGCTGGCATTGGGTTATCTGAACCTCCAAACTACCGGTCTTCACAATCAGATAACAAGAAAGGTGTGAGCAAAACATTACACAAGAAGGCATCTTCGGCTTTGCAAGAAGATATAGCTCTTTCTGGCGGTAATAACGGATCAACCAACAAAGCTAAAAACTCCGTTTCTTTCAGTATCAGTGAGGATATTAGTGCTAAAGAAAGGCGTGTTGTCAAAGCGAACGATGAAATGATGGAAATCTCAACTCCTCCACCAGGCAAAGGAAGCCCAGAAAGAAGCAATTCTAGGAAGAAATGGAGCAATATTGGAACCTCAAGTAAAGCTCTCAGTGGTTTCAGAAAGCTTCTATCTTTTGGCAAGAGGAGTTAAAAACTCTTCTCTGGTTTCAGAAAGCTTCTATCTTTAGCTATATTTCCAAGGTGAAGAGCCAGTTGTGAGCAAACAGGTAATCTAATAACACATTGTTTATAAGTCTGTAAATTTTGGTTATTGTGTGCATAACAGAACCTTGTAATGGTTATTTGCTTCAGTTCTTTTCGCTTTTTGAATATTTACTTGTAATGTAGAACCCACGATTGCCTATAATTTGTATATCTAATAGTAACATTCTTTACAAGCTCTTAAAAGCCCAGAAAGATGATAGGGGCGGATGAGTAACAGCAGACCAGAATCGGTCTGGATATCAGTCTGAATAGCTTTGGCATGACATTTATGTTAACGAGTCCCACATCAGCCAGACTGACATTTCTCCTCTATATATGTTGGAAACTCTCTTCGCTCCTAAAGGGATCTTTAGGAGGGCAATCTAATGGAGGTTCCACATATTCTTACATGGCCAAGGACTCAACACTCTAGCGCAATTTGTACTTGTCTAGTCCTCTCTCAACGCTCGTGGGACAATCTATGGTTTAGTCTCCATTGGAGGGGGCGTGCTAGAGTCCCACGTCAGCCAGACTTGGACCATTTCTCCTCTATATATGTTGGAAACTCCCTTATCTCCTAAAGAGCTCTTTTGGAGAGTAATCTAATGGGGTTCCACATATTCTTACCATTTATGCATACCTCAATAGAAGGAGGTTCAAGATCGAAAAAAGGAGCATAAGGGAACATCTGGGGTTCCACATATTCTTACAATTTACGCATACCTCAATAGAAGGAGGTTCTAGATCGAAAGAAGGAGCACAAGGGAACATCTATCAACTGTTGGATCTAAAAAATAGATGATGACCCATCAAAGATGATCATCCTGGTGGATCCAAGGCTTTCTTTTTGAGGTAAGGCTTACAACAAATTTAATGTGGCATTTTTATAAATGGAAAATATTAAATTTCACGCTGAATTTACAAATTGCTCATGTAATGCCTTCTAAACCATTGTTATTGCAGCTAGGGGGGAAATGAGTTGGAATCGTTGCACTTGGAAGCGTTGGTACCAAGATCGCAGAAAGGCTCGAACCGGCTGCAACATCACCTATAGCTCGAGAAAGAAGTCACAACTTCGCTATCGCAGATCTTGTTCGAAGGTAAGTTATTGAAAAAAAGGTTTATTCGTAATGATAACATATATGAACAATTACCTGATAAATGAAAATGTAACACCTTTCATACCAAACAGAATATAAGTACGTAAACCACGCAAAACCCAGTGATAATTACATCATTTTGGATCAACTGCATCATTGTTCTTCCTAAACAACTTGTGTTCCATATGCTGGTGGAAGGTCCGTGGCGGAAAGAGTGGCTCCTCCTCCTCAGAAACCGTCTCCGGTAGTGGTTTCAGGATGATCTTGTCCTTGGGCGGTTCACAGAAAACTGCCCAAGAAATCCTAACCTTCTCCTTATTCACAAGCCCTCTATGGAGGATGCTTTTATACTTTCCGTTACTAAGGATCTCAATGGTGTCACCAATGTGGAGGATGATGGAGTCCGGCACGCATTTTGCCGTCACCCATCGTCCGCCATAGAAGAGTTGGAGCCCGGGGACCATGTTGTGGAGTATGAACGTGAGTGCACTCACGTCTGTGTGAGCTTCAACACCGAGTGCTAGCTCGGGTTGTGGACATTTCGGGTAGTAGTTGATCTTTAGTTGAAGAAGTAACTCTTCCATCCCTCCGACCTCCTTCTCTAGCCTCCCCTCCTCGAGTCCCAACCCGAGAGATAGAACCGAGAGGATCTTGGTAGCGAGTGCTCGTAGTTGCTTAGCATACTCGGTGGTCGCCGGGCTGTTTAAGAATTAAGATCATTCGTTTCTCGTGTTAGAACTCAAATATGAATGGCTTTTTACTTATACTAAAGCATAAAGCACACTACAATAAAGTCGGTATTATAGGACGTAATAGTAGATTGCCATATAAGATGTATAAGTTTAGCAGGACAGCAAAAATGTAGAAGTGACCTGCATGACAGACTACTTTATAAAACCATTGCAAGAGTATTCGTACAATACAGTGAGACATATCTCGATTTTAATATTTTATTTTATTATTTGTCTGTGTCAATATTATAATACGATTTTATGTGTTTTTAAGAAAGCAATAATGATTTTATTTTTGAATAAAATATAAATTTAAAGATATTATAAAAATTTGAAGGAAAAAAATATATCAATGTTAATATCAAATCAACTATTTAAAAGTTTTCACTTTTATGTAATTTATTTATTTTATTTTTTTTATTATAATTTAATTTAAGTTTAATAACGAAATAATTTATTTTTGGTTTAATAATATAACACTTTATAAAAATAATAATTAAGTATTCTTTTAGACTTTAATGGTTATCCTAATTATATTTTATATTTTTTATATTTAAAATGAGATGTTTATCCTATATTTGATTATGTTTATCTCGAGTTAGTTACACGAATTCATATATGGAGCTTTAATAAGTTGTACTTACGCATAATCTACTTGTCATCCTGAGTTTTAAGTAATATGAATTAATAAACAGTACTTTACGCATAAAAAGTGGTTTTTAAGAGTTTTTGTCAAATACTTTATAATATAGTAGAGATAAAGATGGTATAATAATTAGCGTCCTCTAAAAACAGACTTTTGGGATATTTAGCTTCTTATAAAAACAGATTTTGTTGTAGTAACACGGAACATATCATGCTTACATGTAATCATCCGGCGTCGTTGGCCAAATGGTCAAGTCGCGTTTCTCCTCAGGGAAGACGAGATGGAAGAAGTAATCTTCCCATTCGAGTTGTCCGCAAGCATTGTTAGCCAATTTACTCCCGTATCCTTGAATCTTCCCCGAAGCGATATCGTTACAATACTTCTCCTTCTCTTCCACAGGCTGATCGAAGAAACTCTCCCCCGCAGCCTTAACACGACGGATCAAGTCACCGGAGATTCCATGGTTGACGAGGTGCATAACGCCCCACACGGTGGCGGCCTTCGTGAGCTCATCACGACACTTTTGTCGGGTTTCCAGGTCTTGGGAATGGATGTGGTTTAAGTCGATGGTTGGGAGTTGAGGGGCATTTGGGTCATTTTGGTCATGGAAGATGTTGGTGATGGTTTTGAGTTCATGTTGTGGACGAATGTATTCTTTTGGGATTTGGTGAATCCCACTTGTTGCTAAGGTCTCGACCCTTGCTGAAACCACCATTTTTTAAGGTTTTGTTTTTGGTGGTTTTGTGGAGGGTGGTTTTATAGTGAAATTGGAAAGAATGGAGGGTGGTGAAGAATGGTGGGTGGTGGGTTTGTTCCTATATGGTTGGTGGTTGACTAACGGTCAAAGGGCTCTCGTCTAAATTGTAGGTCAAGATGGTACACAATGATTTTGAAGGGTTGGGTTTATGTGCGATCAATATGTTATTATGAGATCCGTGAGACCATTTCTTTACACTTAAAATTACACAGCAAAATGTTGTGAAGGTAAAAAAATCGAACTTTCACAGTAAAAGCACTGTGAAAGTTACCTTTACAATGTTTTATTATGAAGTTTTAAGTGTAAAAATATAGTCTTATGAAAACAAGTTGATATCACGTTATCTCAAGTGTATAGTTTAATATAGAGAATATTATTTTGTTTTAGTCCGATCAAGGTGTAACCCGCAAATTTGATTTATCACCGGTGCGTTATTTCTATGTATATGCTTGAATAAAAGGTCAAAATCAATGTTCAATATTTAATACATTAAGAGTATAAAATGTAATGAATAATTAAATACGTTAGTTTATAAAAATTGTTTAATATGATAAAATTGTTTTAAATAATTTATTTTTTAACGAAAATGTTTCATATATTTTTGTTTCTATGTAAAAGTTAAATTGTTTCGGGTATTTCTTATTTTGATGAAATTTGTTTACTAAAATTAATAGAATGAAGATGATAATGTCCATAATTATTTGAAACAACTGCATCATATTAAAGAATTCCATGAAATTTTTTCACTAAAATGAACGATGAAATCAACGGTTGGTTTGCGAAATATCTCTCCCTTATATGTGTGTGTGTGTGTAGGGCTAGGTTCAAGGGAAAAACGTAAAAAAATTAAAAACTGAGTAACACTTTGGGAATCGTTCATCTAGACGGTATTCACATGTGTATACAAGTAATTTATAAATAATTTGTCTGGTATTCACATGTGCATAACATGCACACGTGCATAAAAACCAAGAATCAACTTCAATTACTTGTATGCACATGTGTATATCATTCAAATGAATGGTTTTATAAAATGTTCCTCAGTTTTTCATTTTTTGAGATTTTTCCATGAACCTCCGCCTATGTATACAATATTTTAATAATATAATCAATGTTGTAATCTTTAAAATGAAGAATTTGTTGGAGTTGGATGTAAATTTTTATAGAGATTATGAGTTTTAGTTCTCCATTTATAGAAATTTTGAAGAATCAATTGGACTATTATTATCGATACAAATATTGACAGGTTTAGATTGGTATAAATTTTCATGAAAGTGGTTATTTTTACCACAAGTCAAAAATTCATGAACCTTTACAACGAGAAAGGCAACTTTAGCATCAAGAACATCATTGACCAGTCTAGTCCTAATATGATTCACGTGACCACACATGGTTCACCGCGCTTAGAGAATGCCAAAAATCGGTCCCAATCCCAAACACTATTCATAACCGGTCTTGACGTAGCCAGTCCCAACCAAAAACCCAAGGCCTGATTAAGGTACTTTGTAACTGGTCCCGAGAACCGGTCCCAGTCTCGCACCGGGTCCAAATCAGTCCCACTTCTTTTTAAAGAAAATATCAATCTTTTACATATAATTTTTTTTGAATTTTTTTTAAAGAACACAAAAATATTATTATAATACACTTTAAAATATAAAACTGGGTCAATAAAATACGCTTAAAAATAGGTTTTATTATAATTTGTTGAAAATGTAAATTTGAATACAAGCCAAAATTACGAATTATAATGAGAATTGTGAATTTTTGCATTTGTGAATTAATATCTTCTCTCATGCATCATATGACTTACTCGTGTATAGTAGGCCAATGGGCTAAAAACAAACAGTCAAAAAATGAAAAATAAAACGGTCATATGACCGTTCCAACGGCTATAAAAGATGTAACATATTTTGAAAAAATCGGGTCGGTCCCGGTCCAAATCGGGTTGGACTTTATTTTTGGATAAAAATTATAACTGGTCTTTAACCAATGATTCCAAACAGGTCCAAATTGATCCTGGGCCGGACCAAGCCCAAGTCAGTCCCGCTTTGGTTCTCTAACAGACCCGACTAGGCCCATTTGACCATCTCTAGTGGTGCTTCAGTAATCTGATCTCTTCTTAACAGGTTTTGGGCTCAGTTTGGGTCCCAAAAAAAATACAATCTCACTTTGATCATCTCTATTGTCCAGCCCATGCCCATCTCAACATTTAAAAAAAAAAATCAGTCCACCTCACCTCACAGAAGAGCAGGCCACATCCCGCCCCCCAATCTCTCCGGCGCACCGTCGACCACCGCCACCGGCCACATCTTCTCAGTTCCACCACCGGAAAGGATTCGTCGATCCTAAAGCTTCTCTTCTCCTTCAAGGATTCTGCTTCTTGTTGCTTCGCTTACAAGGTCCATAACAAAAGGTACGTCTTCACCATTGATGACGAATTGTTGTATAATTTCCTTGCCTTGAGTTGTCGAACAATCGTCTGCCAGGGTTACAAAACAGGTACTTTTGGTGTTCAATTGTTATTAGGATTTCAAATGATCGTTTTTCATAATTTAGGGTATAATTTGCTTGCTTAATGGTGCTGTTCTTATAAATAGTTTATAGGAAAATCTGAATATAAAAATCGCAGGATTTGAGTGATGGTTAAAGGGCCATTAATCGTAGTTCATTATTTTTCAGAAATCTTCCAACTTCATCCCTCACCAACTAACGATTGTTTGGCAGTGGCTTAATGATGTAGAAAATGGTTTATTCAAAAGGAGCTTTATGTGGAAAGCCAAGTTTTTTTCAAAACATGCTCCTTCCATTTATGAAAACAAAAACCTTCACAAGTCTTGATGAAAACCAACCAAACAGCCCCTTAGATTATTTTAAGTACTTTATGGTGGCAATAGTGTGAGAAGATGAATTGTGACCATGATCTAGTAACTTCTATAAGAATCCAATAAGGCAAAATTCAAAACTATTTAGGATTTCTGGAGTACATTCATAAAATCACTTAGGGGGGGCGTTTGGTTTGATGGAATGGTTTTGAGGGATTTAAATTTCGTGGAATAGTTTGGAATCGGCATAAAGTAAAATAAGTTAAAAACTTGCCCTAAAAGGAAATGTTTCAATGGGAAGTGTTGTGTTTTTTTCTAGGACAACTAAACTACTCCCTCCGTCCTAAATTAAGTGTCCACATTCAAAAGTAAGTTTCCACTTTCCCATTCTACCCTTGATTATGAGATGGAAAAAGTCTCTACCATCAAGGGTAAACGTGTCGTTTGGTTATTTATAAAGCGTAATAATTGCATATTCCTAAAACTGTGTGGCATTTTCATTGTTGGCATTTATTTTGGGACGGAGGAAGTACTTTTTAGCAAAGATGATTTAGTAGAAACTAATTGTTGCAAATAACAATATAAAGATAAGTTTGGATATTTACTTGTATACAGATCTTGAAGGCAATGGCAACCCCTGATGCTCATATGGAGAGTGAAGAAGATGAATATGTAATGCTCGACTTGGATTCGGTTTCCGGGCAAATTCACATTCCACCAAATGCTCCCTACGTTCTCTCTGTACGTGTGTTTAGCCTGTAAAATTTACATTTCCCGACAAGTGTTTTCTAAATCCACGACCTTCTGACAGGTTCTAGCATTCTTGCGTATGGAAGTGGCGTTCTTTTATTAAGCAGTGACATTCTCAAAAATGTCTCATGAAACTTCGATTTTTGATGAGCCATTGTGTTGAAAATGCAGGGTCTGGACACATTGAACCCAATTCTAATTATTGATGGCAAAATAAAGCTGGTAACAAAAATCTCAGTTTTATCCACTTTGAGCATCTCCAATGGGTAACACCAAATCTTGCACCAAAATTTGATATTTGGTGTATTATTTGGTGTCCCCACTGGAGATGATCTAATATGTTTATATATTACCCCCCCTTGTCGCACCCCACCTTGGGTGGGATATACAAGGTGCTTTTGGTTTGAGGGGGACAAAAATCTGCTATCCCAAGGTAACACGTCTCATCCTTGTCCAACCAATGAAAGAAAGACAAAATTTGATTTTTTGTATATTTTAAATTTATTTTAATCCTCACATTTGCTCTATGATGATGTGTATTCATGTGATTGGTGGACATGAATAGGATGTGAGAATTTAGGACAAGTGATTTTTGTCTCCTTGAAGGTGGGGATGTTTTCTTACGGTGTGATTGGTACGCGGGACATATGACAGAACAAAAACTTTTGTCCCATGTTTGGTATGACATTTAGACGGGGGCATGACATGACAGTGTGGAACAAAATGTGCTTTTATTTTGTCCCACCAAAATTAGTGGAAGTAAAACCAAAGAGATGGGCAAGATTGGTAAATTACCAAAATACCCATGTCAATTTAAAACCTTAAAACCTTGCACAATTCTTTCACCGACCGACCTCACTCTTGCATGTCCAGCCCTGTCCTGTCTATGTACCAAACACACCATTAGCGTAATTGTCAACTTTCCCTCATTTTTTTTTGCCACAGAGACGACCTCTCGGATTCTTCCTTATGTTTCATGATTGTGGAATTTGCAGATTGGCGAATATGATGAAACTATTGGGACATGTATTGTCTTGAGTGAAGATGGTGAGTTGAAACACAGAAAAGAGCTACAAAATCTATACGAGAAACTGTACCTGCTGACCGATGCTTGTTTTGCAGATGCTCCTCCGGTGATCCATGAAGAAACGGGACCATCGGAAACCAACCTTTTTGCGGGAAAATCCATAATTGATTCAAATCAGGTTCTGAAAAAGCAAATCAAACCTGTTTGTCAACTTCAAAAGATTCTTAGGTTCAAGTTGTTATCCGAGGAGGCTCAAACCGACATTGTTCAAGACTCGACAATCGAACCGAGGACCATCAAGCGCAGCTAGTCCCGACAACACAAAGTTTCAGTCATTGATTGTTTTGTTGTAAATAGTTCAGATTTCGTTATGGTATATTGACAAAAGTTCATTGTTTTCATAACAATTATCTTATTATACACAACTAATCATTTTTAATCATTATCGTTTTCGTTCCTTGTTTAATACCTCCACAGTCAATCTCGAGCTCGGCCCGAGCCTAAAAAACCTGGTTCTTCTGTCTACGCTCGTCGAACCGACACAATCATTTCGGTTCTATATAATTTGATTAAGACTATGTTTGGTACACTAGTTAAAAAGATTTGCTGAAAAATTAGTAACATTTGGCAAAGAAAAACTAATTGACATATGTAAAAAGATTGGAAAAAATCCCCTTGTGGCCACGGAAGTTCAAATACGGTGAATCCGGGTTATCTGCAAAGCAGGTGGTCGTCTTGGGATTAGTCGGCTCGCATAACAGGTTGGATATCCAGGTTAATTATAAAAAAAACGAGCACCGTGAAAGTATATGCCACTCAGTCAAAAGAAGATGATGGGGGAGTTATATCATTTTCACTTTCTTAATATATTTATATATAAAATAATTGAGTATTCTCACATATTAATAGGATTCGGTAACTATTTTCTATTTGAACTTCTTTATCAATTGGTTATATTATAGAGTTCATAAAGGTTTAAAAAAATCTTACAAACTGCTTTTAAATTTAAAATCTAAATTATTAGAGTAAATTACATGTTTTGTTCCTATAAACATGTTTTTATCGATCATAGTCTATTTTCTAAGAACTCAATAGGTCGTGTCTTCGTGATTGTACTTTTATGACGAGTTGAATCCCTATCACTAACTTCCGCTAAAAATGCCGCTGAAGTTAAGGGCATTTTTGTCATTTTAGTTATTTAAGTTATTTTCTATTAAGATATAAGATAGAGTAAATTACATGTTCTGTCCCTATGGTTATACGATTTTAATAATTCTTGTCTCTTTTTTGAAAATTCACCGCGATCGTATCTCTATAGTTACATTTTTACAATGACTTGGGTCCCTATCGTTAGCTCCGTTTTAAAAAAAAAGTCAATTAAGGTAAGGATATTCTAGTCTTTTTATTACTTTCAACCTCTTTAATTTTTAAAATATAAAATAATGGGGACACAATTTATTAAATCTTTAAAGAAACAGACTGTTTAAAGATATATAACCAAAAAGATACAACTTATTCAACATGGGTTTGGGTTCATGTGAGATCAGTCTGTTTTCGTGAGACCTATGAGACTATTTTTCTACACTTGAATCTTTACAATAAAAAGTTGTGAAGGTAAAAAAAAAGTCGAACTTTTACAATAAAAACACTTTGAATATTACCTTTACAGTGTTTTACTATAAAGTTTCGAGTGTAAAAAAGTGGTTTTACGAACAAAACGAAAATTGGTTAATCTCACATAATCTCAAATCTACTCAACATTATGAAAATATATAATAATTAATTGATACCTTGTTTTTGAGATTTTTATTATTATTTTCAATTTTTGTAAATTTAACCCAGAAATATAATTATTGGGTCCAAAGAGTCACGTGACCAAATCCTCATCCCCTATTTATCAAACATGCATACAACCATTCATTTCATACCTGCAACCATCGCCATGGATTCCACCACCCAATCCAAACCTCCATGGCCGGAGCTCCTTGGAAGCAACAACTGGAAAGACCTTCTCGACCCTTTCGACATCAACCTCCGTAACCTCATCCTCCGATGCGGAGACTTCTGTCAAGCCACCTACGATGCTTTCAACAACGACAAAAACTCCAAGTTCGCCGGCAGCAGTCGCTACGGCAAACAATCGTTCTTCCACAAAGTAATGCTACAATCAGCTTCCGATTACCAAATCGCCACCTTCCTCTACGCCACCGCAAAAGTCACCGTCCCTGAAGCCTTCTTCCTCCATTCCCTCTCTCGTGAAGCATGGGATCGAGAATCAAACTGGATCGGATACATTGCAACTACCACCGATGAGGTTAGTAAATCATTAGGTCGGCGTGAGATCTACGTAGTGTGGAGAGGAACTAGCAGAGGTTACGAATGGATTAATGTTTTAGGAGCTAAAAGCGAGTCTGCTGAACCAATTTTACGCCAGAAAAAATGGAGAACAACGGCGACGGCGACCGGCGATCTCAGTAGCAGTAGCAGCGATAGTGATGAAGATGAAGGGATACCAAAAGTTATGAAGGGTTGGCTATCGGTTTACATTTCAGAAGATCCAAATTCATCTTTCACAAAACTAAGCGCAAGAACACAATTGATGAAAAATATCAAACAGTTGGTGAGCAAGTACGAAAACGAAGAAATCAGCATCATAATCACCGGCCACAGCCTCGGTGCAAGTTTAGCGATCTTATCAGCCTTCGATCTAGCAGAAAACGGGATCACAAACATTCCAATTTCAGCATTCGTGTTCGGATCGCCACAGGTAGGAAACAAAGCATTCAACGATCGTCTCAACCAATTCTCGAACGTCAAAATCCTTCACATTAAGAACAAAATCGACGTGATTCCGCTTTACCCTAGCGGATTACTAGGTTACGTGGATTCAGGTGTGTTGTTCGAGATCGATACACGGAAGTCCGGGAGCTTGAAGAAATCGACGAACACCGGCGATTGGCATAACCTGCAGGGGATGTTGCATGTGGTGGCGGGATGGAATGGAGTTGATGGTGAGTTTGAATTGAAGGTGGAGAGAAGCTTGGCGTTGGTGAATAAATCGAGCGAGTTTTTGAAAGATGAGTTGTTGATTCCAGGTTCATGGTGGATCGAGAAGAACAAAGGAATGATTATGGATGAAAATGGAGGTTGGGTTTTGGAACCACCTGCTGAAGAAGACGTTCCTGTTCCTGAGAATCTTATAGAATAAATCTCGATGATTTTTCTGGAAACAGTTGTTGTATCCTTTAATTAAACGTTAATATATTTATATGCATTTTTAGTTTTCAGTATATTTGGTGGGTATTTTCTAATAAATCTCGTCGGTTAATATTTTACCAAGGTGATGATCAGTAATTGATTTGAAAGGACAGATATGTTTTGCAAGTTCGTTATTACGAGTAGTTTCTACAGATAGGTATGGTAATGGGGTCGGCATATGACGGAGACTTCAATTCCCGTCCACATTCTCCACCAGGGAATTTGATCACATCCTCATCTCCGTCCCCAATGGGAAATTTTTTTCCGGTTTGTGTAAGTTTTTTTTAAATCAAATGTGTGAGATGCTACACATGTAACGTACTTTCAAAAATATTTTAACTTGATTCATATTTTAGGTAACTTACTTTCAAAACTTCTATTTTGGTACCTAAGATGTAAAGTTTTAAACATTTAAATACCCGAGTAACCGGTTATCATGCTAATGTTGCAAGTGATGGAATGAAATTGGGTTGAATAGCAAATAATACTAAGTTGGATATCACATCATTCGTCACATCAGCATGGTAACCAGTTAATGCTTAAACCGGTTACCCGATTACTTAAATATTTAAAACTTTACATCTTAAATACTAAAATAATAGTTTTAAAAATACGTTATCCAAAATAAAAATTAAATTAAAATACGTTAATTTTTCATGTTATTTGTCTGTTTCTAAAATAGCAAAACTACTCAAGATGCTCTTATTTACATGAAGACAAATTTCATTATCTTCACCACATCTCTTGAATTCCAATCATTTCTATTTTCATTGTGTGGGTATCATTCATTCATGTCCCCTTGACCATATTTCTTTTGGATGATTTGAAAACATACCAAAGTGCAATCAATAAAAGCATATTCTTTTTCAATATTCTATTCTTTTTTAGCCAACTTCTTTATAATAAAAAAAAACACATAACAAATTACATGAAAAATAATGTAATTTAACTTGATTCTTATTTTCGGTAACGTACTTTCAAAACTTTCATTTTGATATCTAAAATATAAAGTTTTAAATATTTAAATACCCACATAATCGTTTGAAGCATTAACCGATTATCATGCTGATGTGGCGAATGATGTGGTATCCAACTCAGTATTATTTGCTGATGTGGTTAGTTACATTGATTTTTTTAATCTAACATTAGTCTTTCTTAAAATCTAAAATTAGTCTTCAACCGGTTACCCGGGTATTTAAATGTTTAAAACTTTACATCTTAGGTATCAAAATGAAAGTTCTAAAAATACGTTTCTCAAAATAAAAATCAAGTTATCTTAGGTATCAAAATGGAAGTTCTAAAAATACGTTTTCCAAAATAAAAATCAAGTTAAAGTAGATTACTTTTTCATGCAATCCATCCAAAAATATATCCTCTAAAGATTCTGTTGGATGCGTTTTAGTTGATCTAATCTCTTGGGACGTAGCCCTATTTTTAACCGATTAAATGGTTCAGACAAAAAATATAGACTAGAATAAAATGGCTATTTTTAACATTTAAATTGTTTATTCAACACAACAACTGAGCATCAATTTATCTATCGTATATCTTATAGACAAATTTATCAATACATACAACTTTATCCATACACAACTTAATAGAAAACGAACCGCACAATCTCTCAATAACTTTCAAATAACTTGTCAATGACGTAAAACACTCTACCGGTGTAAAATCTTGAAAATACACTAGATATCCCAGAGAACGATGACCATTTTTTCGTTATACAAGTACCCATCGTCGACCAACTTCAGAATACAAGACCATTATACTCGAAAGAAAACAAATACAAACACATACAAACAATACACATCACTTGACGAATAGTCGTTCAGGAATGCATTTCGAGAACATGTTTTACTGATCGGGTAATTTATCCCTCAGGTACTTCAATATAGCTTTGGTTCCACAATCAAGAATTGGCCTTCGTATGCTGCAAAAATAGTAAAGAGTTAGAACTTGATTATTAAGGGGTCGTTTACCAAACGCTTACTCGGTTAAGTGAACACCAAGTCATTTTACCTTACCGGATGAATATGGTAAGGATCAAGAATCTTACCAGTGTAAGAGCGAGACAAGAACCAAGAGTCTTACCCGGTAAGTGAGGGCAACGCAGTAAGTGCTTACCGGGTAAATTGTTGCATACGATACCGTTTTGGTGGACTAAAATCTTATCCGGTAAGTAAATGATAGTGTTAAATTTACCGGTAAGCGCTTACCGTTTAAGTGTTTAGTAAACGGCCCCTAAGACCATCTCCAACCGAAACCGCTATATTTTAGCACTCAAATTTACACTATTCATCATAATAGCACTAATCTTCTCCAACCAACTAGTGCTAAATTATAGTACTTATATATATTTATCATCGAGGGTCGGATGTACACAAATCTTTAACCTACCCCAAGGGGATTGAGAGGATGATTCTGTGAACACCCCCGGCTTGCAAAACAAATAAAAAATCGAAAGAAACAAGCAAGCATGCTACATGTGAGGGTGTGTGCAAAGAAGCAACGAGTACAATTAACAAAAATATGCATCCAAGACAGATGTGAGAGAAATAGGTTAAACAAATAAGAAAAACACAGAGCATGGTCCTAATAGCAACTACTAGTACAGGAAGAAAAGCTATGATATACCAATGGTCCTTTGGCCTAGCAGTATCCAGACATAAAGGGTTCAAACCTCACCAAAGGTCAGGAGGGTGTGTGAGTTTATTTGTCGTATATATTGGTTAGGAGGGTGTGTGAGTTTATTTGCCATATATATATATATATATATAGGGTCAGGTTCAAGCGAGAAGGTGGTCAATTTGCGAGAAGGCGAAAAGTTTCAATATCATGTATGATTACATGCATGATATGCACGCTTAATCATATATGATTAAACACACCCAAAGAAGTATAATCATATATGATATTGAAACTTCTACTCTTCGCGCAAATTAATTAACTTCTTACATGATCCTTCCTATATATTATATAAATAATACTTTAAAAGAACAATGATCCAACTATCTGTTGTTGGTGTGTTGTGCCAATCGGATTGGTGCAAACGTAAGGATAGAACAAATAAAAGAGACAGAGGATACCTTCTCAAAGGGTTTCCATCTAGTTGCAACACATTAAGAGTTGGTTCTAGTAGACCCTGCAAAATCAACTTCAAGTATCAGGATTCAATCTACTGAAAAGCCAACTTTCAAGTTTTTTATTTCTTTTTCACTTTAGGTTTAACAAAAAGGAGTTCAAGTTTTTTGGAGACAATATCATATTGCATTGCAATAACTGCAAGTGTTGTGTCTCAGAATGTCAGCATACTTAGGGCCTGTTTGATAGCAGCTTAATGAGCTTAATGGGACTTACAGCTTATTCGGTCAGCTATACATAATTGTTTGGTAGTAGCTTAATAATATAGAAAGTAGCTTGTTTAGTAAGCTTTCTAGGAGGAAAGTTTATGCAGAAAGCCAAAAAAAAATTCAAACTTGTCCCTCCCAATTAATAACACGCTCTTTCTATCTATGAAAAAACTCTCCACACCAAAAAAAAAAAAAAAATCAATCAACAAAGACAGATTAATCCACACAGACAACTTTATCTATACATCACTTAATGGAAAACCAACCAAACAGCCCCTTAGATAGTTGGAACATTCATGGAAGAAAGGAATGCCACTTTGTGAGTAATTGGCCACTCGTTAATGCAAACGAACAATTTATTTTGCACTGATGTTATTGTCCGAAAGGCCATTGGAACCAGAAAAAAAGTTGTGTACGAACCAGTTCAGGAGGAAGTGCACTGATGTTATTGTCCGAAAGTCGAAGCTCCTGAAGAGATGTAGCATCTTTAAAACCCTGCAGGAAATGTTCATTATATTAGTGCAAATGTTCAGAGGTGATAAAGTTTATTGTGATGTACGCAGTGATTACTAAGGGCCCGTTTGGTTTAACGGAATGTTTTTGAGGGATTTAGAGTTCGTGGAAGGATTTGGAATCTTTGGTGTGTTTGGTTATTACATAACAAGTGTTTTCAACATATTCTAAAACATTATTACAAATAAATCCTATGAAATTCCGCGATACCAACTCGGCCCATGGGATTCCTAAATCCCATGTTTGTGGGATTTCATTGAAATTCTGGGTTTTCAATTCCAGACTTTCCTTTCAAATCATGACATTATATGCAACAATAGATGCACGCTAACCAGGAAGAAAGTTACCTCTGGAATCAATTGAAGGGAATTCTGACTCATATCAAGGACCCTTAATTTAGGCAAACTTAATATATCTCCCCTGATCTCTGAAATCTGCATCCTCCTGTTCAACCAAATTCCAAGTTAACAACACACAGTCATTTTCACCAAGAAGAAGCAAATCATTTTTCCAACTCACCTTAGATATAGTTCCTGCACTTGCAGCAAAAAAGAAAATGCAGGATATTCAGGTAAACAACCTGCATTGCCACTTAGATCAAGAACCTGGAGCTTGGAAGCAGCTTGGAACCCGTCCAATGGAATCTATGAATGAAGCAGAATAAGTGCATGTCAAAAACTAAAAGAAGAAAAATGACCTGCAAAAAATGCAAATGGGACGACTTATTTATTCCCCTTCTTAGTTTTGCCTACCAAATCTTCCTATTCTTAGTTGCATCTTTTTCTAGAGTGAATTACGCTGGTGGTCCCTATTTGTTTTCTCAAATTTTGTATGTCCCTAAAACGAACTATCTACACTGGTGGTCCCTAAATTTTCAATTTCATAACACTCAAAGTCCGTTAACACCGTCAGTTAGCAATCGTTAGAAGGGAGACATCAGTCTTTGGGCAAAACAGGGACTAAAAATGTAATTCACTGTAAAATTAATTTTGTTTCACATATTTTTTTAAATTCTTTATTTATTAAATATTTAAAAAAAAGATATGAATCACAATCAATCTTAGAGTGAATTACACTTTTGGTCCTAGTAGTTTGCTCAAAGACTGATTTGTCTCTCCTAAAGGTTGCTAACTGGCGGTATTAACTCCAGGGACCTTGAGTGTTATGAAATTGAAAAGTTAGGGACCATCAGTGTAGATAGTTCGTATTAGGGACCAAAACCAAAATTTGAGCAAACCACAAGAACCACCGGTGTAATTCACTCTTTTTTTAATTATATAATATTTATATACGACAAATGAACTCACAGATCCTTATCACTTTTGGTGACGTTTGAACCCCTAACCTCCTGAGAGGCTGAGGCTGAAGTTGAGGCTGAGGCTGGGTTCTACCAGTAACCCGGATACTGCTAAGCCAAAGGACCTTTGGTTTCTTAGTTACATCTTGTTATCATAGTTTCATGTTTTGCCAACATACACTTCCATTCACCCATGGGCCAAGAGATGATTAAAGATCACATTTTGATGGCTGGATAGCCTTCAACGAAGCCAATGTCTAGAACTAAATGCATTTACCTGTCTAAGTGGATTACTGTCAAGCTTCAAACACACAAGATTGCAAAGCGACTCCAAGATTGCACTTGGCCACTCTTTGATCTTGTTCCTTGATAAAATCAACGTCTGCCAGAACAATGATCATCAAATTAGTACGAACAACTCCTTGAAGTGGGTAATGCATTTAATATCGAGATTCTGACCACAGTCTATTACAATGTCTAAGAGCAAATAATGCAGACTGTATCTCTGTTAAGATCCTTAAAAGGTCAAACCAATTGACCTGCAAGTTTAAACTATGCCTTTATTTGCTTCTAAATAAGTGAAAGAGAATGTTATATCCAAAAGAAAGCCAATGATAACATCAAGAGAATGAAATTATTGACAGTAACCCAGTTGTTTGGATCCCGAATATGTGTTATCATGCCACCTCTATATTCAAATGTATAAAGAAGTAAAAAGAGAAAAAAGAAACTAACCTCAAGGGAAGCACATGAAGAAAGTTCAACAGGTAGGACTTCAATTGAGTTCTTAGAGAGATCAACTTTTGTGATGCCACTTGTCTCCCATACTTGCGGTGGAACAACATTTAAGCCATGCCCTCCTAAAGAAAGCTCCTGAGAAGTATACGACAGTAACATATATAAAAGTTAAAGGATGATTCTCTTTGGAGATATAGAAGAATATATTTCTGATGAGAAAGTCTCATTTGATAGCCTATATCATCATGATTACAAACACAAACACGGCTTCATTTGCCTCAAAATGCATTAATAACAAGGAAAAACCACCAAACTAGCCATTTTTGGTAACTAAAAGAATCAAGAAATAGCCAATTTTTTAATGATCAACAAACTAACCAAGAATTTTGAAAAGTCACCTTTTTTATTATTTTTTAGTCAGATGGTGGCCCATTATCTCAGCTGAAAAGCACCTTTTTTTCCGGGGGTTTGCAGAGTCAATTTGTGGAATTACCGGCTATCTCTTGATAATGTTTAGAGAAAGAGCTTTTGATGAAATTTTTTTGCCAAAAATGGCTAGTTTGGTGACTTTTCCCTAATAACAATTCAATCAATGAGCAAAAAAGAAATGTCATGACAACGAGCAAGCAAAGTTACTAATAGAAATAGAGTTATTGACTTTTTGAAGCATCATACTCGGCTTCTGCTGCAAACAAACCATCATTCTTGTGAGAGCATAAGGACCGCTACACTTTGCAAGAACAAACAGTTTGTCCAAAAAATTTCATGCTTGCAGAATATAGTGATCTTATTGGCATTTTCGGCAGAATGATGCTTATTTTGTAAGTGCAACAATCAAACACTCAATAGGAACGACATTCTAGGTGGTGATGCCTCAAACACAGATATAGGAAATACTGTAGTATAATCAAGTTCCTTAACAATCTACTTAGACGAAGGAAGCATGAAGATAGAACCTTTGAACCAAGAGACAACCGAGAGGCCATAGCAATAACTTCTTTTTTGTTCCCAGATGTTCCACCCTCTGCATCATATACATATTTCAGGTGACTCAAACATGTACAGGAGAAAATACAGAAAGAACTGCTCCGAAAGTAGGAAGTTGACAACGATTTAGTCAATGAATGTAAATACATTAAACAGAAATTCGACGCAGAAAGATGTTTGCATAACATAGATCAACATTATCATAGATAAATTGGCCTCTCTTGTTGTATACACAAACTGCTAAGAATTGGGTACCTTCTTCGGCTGGAAGTCTACTTCGAAGAAACTTCAACAATGCAGGAGTAGGTCCAGACACCAATGAGCTAAGTAAAAAAGGATGAAAGTTGCTGAACAACCACCTTGAGGGGCATAAATCCAAATCAGATCAAACAAACTGGAGAGACTATTAAACCTTCTAAGAGTTCGTATAGGATTGCCAGTGAGCACAAGCTTCCTCAAAGTTGTCATCAAGCCTAGGTAATAAGATTTTATAAGCACATGTCAGATTGCACAAACATTTCAACGCAATCAATATCATAAGTCATAATTCATAACAAGCACAAAATCCAGCAGAAGACATTAGAACGAAATCTCAAGGTACAATAAGTATGTACGCCGCATGATAAATGGAAGACCACAAAAGATGCTGATGAAGAAGATGCTGATGAAGAAAATGCTGCTGAAACAGGAACTATTCGTGAAACATTTCAGCGAGCATCAAGTATGAGCAACTATCCTAGCTCATACTTGGAAAGGTATTTAAACCTTTGAAGTCCATTGGCAACATTCAATTCTCATCTGATGAAGAAACAGGCTGTATTCTCCTTCAATTTTGTGCACCGGTGACTACAAATATAGGCACATTTCTTTGAATGTTATGGTAAAAAAGACACTGAATTTTAATAAGAGAGTTCCTTGTAAAGCAGAAAAAGGAGTTGTTTCACATGTTTTGAGTCTGGCCATCAACATTTACTCCAGAAGAGCATAACAATACAGTTCTCGTATACTAAAAAACTTGTGCGATTAAATGCTAACCTTACCAATCTCAGGGGGCAGCCCAGACAGTGAATTGTTAGACAAATCTAAACCTGAAAGCCTCAATTTGCATGCCTCCACTGGAAACTCCGTTAACTATAAAAATAATAAACCAGAGGCACAAAAACTACTGAGGATCCAAAGTAATATTAGAAATTCAAGAAAAGCGATGAGTGGAATGATCATAAAAGAAATCAGTTTTGAAGCTTCTACCTGATTTGAATGAAGATCAAATGTCCCTAAATTCGTAAGTTCTCCTATCACTGTTGGTAGTGATGTCAGAGAGTTATTCCTACATATTAAAGAAGGTAAAATGGAAGGATAAACATCAAAAAAAAATACTGTAATAATTGAAGTTACAACTAGACATTTTTGTTTTCCTCTACTAGAAGAATAGAAAAACACCCCATATAGAACTCTGCCAACGAGGAGCAGCCCCTTATTGATGAGGGAATAGATGAAATTCCTGCATCAGAATGACATATAGAATATATCACCAAATAAAGATATGTAAGATCAAAGTAAAATGAGACACATCTCTTTAATTCTAGACTGGGTCTCCACTCTGCATAGACAGGCATCCACACATATTGCATAAACGTGAAGGAACTTGGTACTCACTGTTCTGATGCAAGTCAAGGCGAATGAGACGTGAAAGGTTTCCAACGCTCTCAGGGATATCACTAAGTGCGTTCTTGGCTGCATCATCCGTGACAAAGATACAACTTAACTAAATTAGCATGTCAAATGAGCTTACAAACTGAAGCCAACAGAAAGCATGTGACATGCCTGCATTCAGTTCCATGAGCAAAGTCCATGATGCAACAGATTTCTCAGATAGCACGGTTAGCTTGTTTCCCTAATATGACAAGTGCTTTATGCCCAAACCAACCATTGCATAGGCAAAAACAAGGGAAAAAAATTGACAAGGCAATTATGAAGAACTGATTTCAGCAGTTTGTGATACCTCTACATCCAACTTAGACAACTTTGAACAATTGCCTAAATCTTCGGGCAAGCTGGTGAGGCAATTGTTTGAGGCCTACGAGGAAGCACTAACAAATCAACAATAGAAAGAAAAAGCATTTCAAACCAGCTGTGTGCCAATAACAAGTTAAAAGAAATGCAGTGCAGAGTTTTTTTCTTTGCGATGAAACCAAAATTATCACATGAAAAAGACCATACAAGTATATTTATGGCCCCATTAATGCAACCTAGACTAACTATATATGTGTGTGTGTGTAAATATATATGTGTGTATGTGTAATATATATATATATATATATGTATGTATGTACGTATGTATGTATATCCGCATACAGTTCTATACCCCATAATACATCATGGAAACACGGAGATCTTAACCTTTATCTTTCTTAAATGAAGACAAATAAAGTAGGAACTAAAATTTTACCAAAATAAATAATTCGATCACATTTTTCATAGTGAAGCCTATCCATCAATGTAGTTTTAGGCTCCACTGAACATTACAGAAACTTGGGAACATTTGGTTCGCAGGATTCCAGTGAAATCCGATGGAATTGGAACAACAAACTCCATTGACTCGATTCTATTGACTTGTTTGGTTTGCAAAATTGGGGGGGGGGGTTCAATTCCACTGGAATTAGCAAATTCCTTACGATAACATATCATGATAACTTTTCTAATGAAATTCAATCCCATTCGTAACTGAAAGGGTAATTCTACCCTTTGCATTCCAATCCCAAAGATACATGACTCAAACCAATCAGAAAGTTTAAAGGAAGTAATTGAATTATGTTCCATTCTCAGCCAACCAAACGTATGGTTAAACCAGGTTCAATTTCATTCCAAATCCCACAAATTCTGATTCTTTTGACATAATCCATTCTTTCCAAACATATTCTGCGAACCAAAAGTAAACCAAGTGACAAGTGGAATTTGACGCTTAAACTTGAGAAAAATACATTTGCAATATAACTAGAACGTACAATCGGCTGATACATTTATCCTCATGATGTTACAAACAAGATAGAACAGGGCTGCATCACATATCCCAATAGGCTAGTAAGAAACTTTTGCTCAAAGGGTTGACAAATCTGTGCCACATGACAGACTATAAAATAGTACATCTAAATCATACCAAGTGCAAGTCTCAAACATAATGCATTACAAAGTCGTACCTTGAGGTCTGATAGATCCAGGCAGTTTCCGAGGGAGCAAGGAAGATTCTTAAGCTGGTTGCTGGAACAATCAAACCTGTAAAACCATGTCTTGATGAAAACATTCAACTAGATTTCACAGAGCCTTCCCATTTTCTATGCCTCCTATGAGTTGTTGCAATGACAATAAAAAAATTACTAGTATTCATATGAGTCTGCACAAATTAAACGCTCATTTCCCTTATCACTCTCTATAAGTTACACAACCAAAAGGAAGTGAAAACCTACTTGATCAGAGAAGCCGCTGATCCAACTTCTTCAGGTATCTCATGAAGCAAATTATAAGACACGTCTAACGCCTTTAGTGATTTGAGCCTGTCAATAAATTAAAAAGATACATTATAACCAATGAAGAGAAAAACAACTTAGATCAAAAGGTTTTGTAGTGTCCTACTCTCCAATAGCCGCTGGAAGGTGGGAAAGCTTGTTGTGGCTGATATTCAGCACAGACAACATAGGTAGGTTTCTTATGTCTTCCTTCAGCAATTCAATGTCGTTATGAGCCAATATCAGCTTTTGTAACTCCACTGCCTGCAGTAGCAAAAGAAATAAGTCTGAATAATAGATAAGTAAAACCTCAGGTCTCCGAATATCAAGAAGTGGGTTGTATAAGAAAGAAGGTATGTTAACAAATACCTCCCACCAGTTTTCACCTTCACCAACTGCATCCAAACTTTTGTATAACTGATCTGGCACTTCCCTGATACAGAATATAGACATCAAAATAACAACCAAACAACGCCATCACAGTGGGTTTCAGAATAACAAATAAAATTAAATGACTAGAGCATATGGGAGCAACTGTTCAACCTCGTGGACACGGTTTATATTGACTAAAACCTAAACCCATGACTACAAATCCCTCTTGGGTTCTCTCACCTTATTCTTTTTAGCGTCTTCTTTTAGGATGAATAATTAACATAAAACTCGGACATGGAGGTCTGGTCTGCAGATGTTCTGGCCAATTAACAATTTTGCAAACACCTAATATTACTATTAGATTGGCTGTAATGTAGTTCTTCATTTAAATTCCAACATAGCATCCTCCAAGCCAGATGACCAAGCCTGTCAAGCACCCCATTTAGGCCTCCTGTAAGTAACCTCATACTTTGTGGCTAAATAAATTAAACATTAAATTCTACTGGATGTTATTGAAATCTCCACTTGAAGAAACCCACATTCCAATGAAACATGTTCTAATATAGGCAGAAAATAACTCTTCTGGACCCAAATAAATAACCGTTATATACGTATATTATGCCAATTACACAGCTTCAAATGAGTAACAAAAACGCATGACCATGCAACCTATCAAGATTACGATGTACATTTCTCAACTGATGCCATCTCCATTCTCCAGAATTCAGTTGCCGTTAGGAGTAAGACGAAATTGTAAAGTAACCAACGCATAAAAAAATGGTGTCAGTAATTTCCTAGATCTTGATGAGCAAATCTTCAAAATGTTGATTGAAATCAAATTAAATTGTCTTTCTTGAACTCAAAACCTTCAACAGAAGGCACAATCAGATCAAACAAAATGCAATAATAAAATAAGAAACTGAAATCGGTAGATTTATTACTTGAGAGAGCGATTAGATAGATTGAGAGAACCAGAAGCTCTAGCGGCTTTGAGTAACCGATCCATTGATCTATCACTGGATCACCTCGCTACTGACAGCAACAGAGTAACACGATCAGATGATCATGAACATCGATTGAGGATGCATTGATTCTTTCTTGATTTCGCTCCTTCGTATCTCACCAAAATTCGATCTTGGTTTCGCGCGTACCGTCTTCCTGACATATATGTGGCTGTCTGTATTTCATTTATTAGGGCTTCTATTATGCACCCTTTTTTATTTAAAAAAAAAGTATACAATTAATCATTGAATCTTGTTTAGCAAAAATAATTTGTTTTCGTAACATTGTAAAACCTTCTGAATAATTTTATTTATTAGGTTCCCATAACCATTCAGTTCCCTAATTTCATTTTAAACAATTACCAAACAACCATATTTTATTTTGCACTGTATCATGAGAGTCTCTTGATAATTCTGACCACTTAATCATATTATATCAAACCATTCAGCAACTGTTAAACACTTCCTTAATCTTGATGTATGTAGATGGTATATAATACATTTAACGCATCCCATCTCAAAATTACTTAGAGATAGTAAGTGTAACGGTCGAATCCAACCGCTTAGAAAGCCTTTGATGTGTTGGAGGTTCACCTGTGAGGACTCCAGGCAAGGATTGACCCAATGTATAGCATACGGTGGTTCCGTGCCACTGTATTTCTTCATTTGTGGTAGTGTAAAAAAATATAGGGTCGTGAAAAATGTCATCATATTAATTTGTTGTGTGCCATGGAATGTATTTTGAAACAATGATATAACAAGTTTTATTTGGTGGAGTTGGTTTGCAAGGTTTTTCTTCCAACCCAAACCCAAGTTCAAATTATGATAGTGTCATATATTTAGTCAAATGGTGTTACCATTTGAAAATTTTCACTATATTTGTATCATAGTTAAATGATGCCACCGTTTGAAGGGAAAAAACCGAATACATCCCTAACTCCAGGTTATTCGTGATTGTCTGTGAGATTAGTCGAGGGGCTTAAGCTAGTATGAGAACTCACGGTTACCAAATGCGAGCTACTACTAAGAATGTTAAATACAAGAAAAAACAGTTTTAAATAGATACGACGGACTCGAAACAAGCTTGGAAAAGAAAGCCGATTATGGTAAAGTAGAGCGAATGTGCACCTTACATGATATTATATATAATTAAAACGAGTGTATACATCTACAAACACAAAGTCTTTAACTATTTTCAGACCAAATATGGAGAAAAATTGATTAATGGAAGTTCTAACCGGCTCCACGGGGAGGGGTATAAATGACTCGAACTTTTAACGAGCTATTCGAGCTCGAGATTAATAAGTGTTGAGCTCGAGTTGATATCAAACACAAAATAAAACACGTTTAACTTAATAAGTCGACCCCCATAACACCCATGTTCAACTCGACTCGTTCAAAAGCTCAATTAAACTTTATGAGTCGAGTCGAGCTGAAACATTCGAGCATACACTTTTTTTCGAGCCAAACATATTTATGTTCTTACAAATCATATAATCAAATTACGAAAAATATAAAGATTGAGTAAATAAATGAGTTAACCGATCTCAATTTCTAGCTCATAAACAAACACTGTGCTCAAGTTAAAACATTGACAAAATATTCGAGTTGAGTCTGCTATTGTTTTATTCAGGTCGAGTTCAAATAACCTGCTACCTGATTCGACTTGCCTCGTTTACACACAACTGTCCACAAGGAATCGACCTCAAAGGACACCAATGTGAGGGACAATATTTGGCCTCACTCAACAGCTGAAGCTAGTATGAGAGTGACGAGATTGAATTTGTCTTGTATCTGGGCAAAATTTTCCTGCCAATTTATAGCTCAAATGAATAATGTTACATCAAATTTTATGTAAGAATTATTAATTCTTACCAAAAAATCTGATATAACATTATTCATTTACTTTTTTTTGGCACTAAAATTTGATGTAACATTAATTTGCCAAAAAATTGATGTAACATATGGGTACAAATTGTAAAGTTAATAGGTAAATTGATATTATTAAATATTTAACAAATAAAAAACAAAAAACAATACATTTAAAATCTTAAAATCTGATGTAAAAACAGTATTACCCATTAAAATAGATTTACAGTTGACACCAAAATTTTTCACGTAATAACAGACTTGGTGTTGTTTATGGGGGATTCATAAACAATCTAACAAATTTTGCTCAAAGACTATATTCAACTATCCTAAAAATGTTTCATTATAAAACACAGTTTCTCTGCCGAGCAATAAGTAATTATTTGAGCTAATAAGTAACAATTCAACAACCCTGTTAAGAGGCAGCATATGAATCCTTAAGAGGTGATTCTTGTTTGACAAAAAAAAAAAAACCGTCTCTTAATTATTTTAAAACCCTCTGAATGATTTTGTACCTTATGTACCCCTTAACCATCCAGCACTATAATTTCATTATGAATAATTACCAAACAATTATATTTCATTTTGTACTATATTATAAGCTTCTATTAATCATTCTGATCACTTGATCATTATGCACAAAACCATTCAGCAACTGCTAAACAGCTTCTTAGCCATTTTTCTTCTTAAAATTTCAAAAAATATTATTATCTCCATTAGTGGTACATCATCAAATTTATAGAGGGTCAAAATGTAAAAAACAAGTTTTTGAAACCAACAAATACATGGACCAAATTTATAAATCTGATAAACAATGTTCAGATTAATTTATAGATTTGATCTATGTATTTATAGACCTGGTTTAGAAACTAATTTTTATATTTTGATCCATCTGCACGTTGAAAAGTTGTTACTTACGAAAATATTGAAAGAAAAATAACTGAGAGATAATTATAAATACGAAGATTACTATTTTAATTAGCATCTCTGATAAGTTTTCATGTCAATTATTTTTTATTTCAATGGAGATATTCTCCAATATAGAATGAAAAATGACATTGAATGATAGTATAGGGACTATATTTGTAAATCATTCATAAAAGACCAGCATCCATCAAAACCCTATAAACCATTTGTTGCTGTGCCGTCGTCGTCCTCGACCTCCCATTTTTGCAGATTTGGATTTCTAGGAATCCTCTGCACGCCCTATTCCAAACCGACGGCGATTCAGCCTGAGTTCACTGCAGTGGTGGTGGCAGTTGGGTTTGGTCCCAATTTGTTCCTCAATTTCGATTGGCGAGATCTCAACATCATCAAAATCAAGTAAGTGGCTTTGATTTCAGTTTTAGGGTTTTGCATATTGTTTCTGAAGGGCCTTCAATTTGCATCCTTACATTGAGTGTGCCTTTGATTAATTCTACCCGACAATCCATTTAGCAGCAGTGATTGAGAATTTTGTCTTAGCAGCGGCTATTTGAGAATTTTAATTGATTGGTTTTATCGGCAGGTAAAAAATGGTGAAGAAGAAAGAGAGGTCGGTGAACGTGTCCGGAAAGCCAAAGCATTCTCTCGATGTCAACAGAGATGCGGGTCACAAGAACAAAAGCGGCGGCACCGCCCGTACCTCCGCTACCGTTCGCCGTCTTAAGATGTACAAGACGAGGCCGAAGCGTGATGCTAAAGGAACAATCCTTAAACACGAGTTGCAATCTAAGGAGTTGCCATCTACTCGTATTCAACCTGATCGTCGCTGGTTCGGTACGTGATACTTTTGCTTTCTGCCCATTCTATAAGGTATTTAAGACAGATGAGTTATCGGAAAGCAAATTTGGGCTACTTTATTTTAACGGGAAAGTTGATATTACACTTAATAATGCTAGGGAGCGTTTTACTTGGGCTGTTTGGTTAGTTGCCTATGTGGAAGATTTTTCTTTGGGAGTTTTTTTTCATACATGGAAGCAGCTTGTCAAGCTTTTTTAACTGGGAGGGGCACGTTCGGGAAAAAACTTGTATTTCTCTTACTAATAAGCCACTACCAAACGGTCCTGTATAACTCATGTATAACTGACCGAATAAGCTGTGAGTCCCATTAAGCTCGTTAAGCTGCCAACAAACATGCCCTAACATGATTCCACTCAACATTGCAGGTAACACTAGAGTTGTAAATCAGAAAGAGCTTGAATTCTTCCGTGAAGAGCTACAAAGTCGACTCTCAAGTAACTATAATGTTATTCTGAAGGAGAGAAAACTGCCTATGTCGCTATTGAATGATCATCAGAAGGTAAATCATCAGCCAATGGAAACATAATGGAAGAATTGAAGTTATTTTTGCAATTCAGGATATGATCTGTATATACCCTGATAATGTATGTGCTTCTTTTATGTAATTTTGAAGCAAGCAAGAGTTCACCTTCTTGATACAGAGCCATTTGCTGATGCATTTGGACCAAAGGGGAAGAGGAAACGTCCGAAACTAATGGTCTCTGATTACGAATCACTGGTCAAGAAGGCTGATGGTTCCCAAGGTAAATGACCTTACATAGCTTTGATGAAGTATTAGTTTACTTCCTCTGCTTTCAATTTTGGACTGTGTGGTAAGCAAACGTGGTTTCATTTATCGCCAGAAGAAACTATTCTTTGTTTATCAAATTTGGCTTAGGTTTTCTATTTTTATTTTGATTTCTCTAATGAGTTTCTAACTGATCAAAATTTGTATGAATGTGTGCCAACACTGTAGATGCATTTGAAGAGAAACATGGTGATGCACCCGCAGATGCAGGTGAGGATGGATTTAGAGATCTAGTTCGCCATACAATGTTTGAAAAGGGTCAAAGTAAACGCATATGGGGTGAGCTTTACAAAGTCATAGACTCTTCGGATGTTGTTATCCAGGTTAGTTTTGTGCTAGTAGATTGTTTATTTGGATGATTCGTTTATGCAATCGGTTTTTCTTGTCATGTATATGTTAGCATGTGCATTTCCTGTTCACTTTTTTATCTATTTATATTTTTTGGTTTTTATTGCTTTCGGGTCAATGAATTGGTCAATACAATAAAGGGATGTATATAAACTTATAAAGCAGGGACGCATAATTGTTGAGGTTCTGCTTTGTTAGAATTAAGAGGCCATTATTTTGTATGAGTTAATAAGTACTTCAGATGATTGAATCATGATAAGTTCGGAGACATGGTACTTATGCTACTGATTATAGGTACTAGATGCAAGGGATCCCCAAGGCACAAGATGCTATCATCTGGAGAAGCATTTGAAAGAGCATTGCAAACACAAGCACATGATTCTATTGTTAAACAAGGTAATCATTAGCTATCTTTGTAAATTTTGAGGTTTCTTCTCTTTCGCTTGCCTGGTTCTCGTGAATCGAGTGATATTTACTGTCTTGCCTTGCCTACATTTGTGCAGTGTGATTTGACCCCTCCATGGGTAACAAAAGGATGGCTGAGAGTGTTATCTAGGGAATATCCTACACTAGCATTTCATGCAAGTATTAACAAGTCTTATGGCAAGGTATCCATCAAGGACACTACATCATTAATCATATCACTTACGTAAATGCGTTATTTGTGCAATTTTAATCTCACCATGGTGGTAATTTGTTCTCTTCATAGAATTCTCTTCTGTCGGTGTTGAGACAATTTTCACGCTTAAAAAGTGACAAGCAAGCCATATCAGTTGGATTCGTGGGGTACCCCAATGTTGGCAAGTCATCAGTAATTAACACGCTTCGTACAAAAAATGTAAGTTCTTTATTTTATTTTTAGTACATAGCGGTTGCCATCTTTTGTTTGAAGTCTTTCTCATTCATTGTGTATTTTTCGGTAAGATTTGATGTTTAAGGTTCATAGAAATTACCACGACATGAATCTTATGAGATCTGTGGGTCTAAATACAACTAAGCATCTTTAAATATAAAAATACTCGAGGGTTTATTTTGCTTGCTCATTGGAATATGCTACCAAAGTTTGACATTATAATCAAGTTAAAATGTCTATAAGTAATGCATGGTTTTTTCCGTTGAATTTTAAACCCCTTTCTCTATCGTTGCACCTGGGTATGAATCCAGAAGTGAATAGTCTTGTCATTCTTTTGTAAAGTATAGGAACTGGAATTTATTATTGGTCATTGGTCTTTATTGTCTCTACAGTTTCGAATAGGATGGTTGGTAAGATTTAAGTGTGACATGATAATCTTTAAGTACTCTGTGAGGTGCACATGTTTACATGAGAGCAAGAGAAAATCTTGGGTCTGTTACAATTAAGCATTTGGCTTGCACAGCTTGGTTGACATTTTCATTGTTTTCTTTTGCAAAGGTTTGCAAGGTTGCTCCAATTCCTGGAGAGACTAAAGTTTGGCAGTACATCACCCTTACAAAGAAGATATTCTTGATTGACTGCCCTGGTGTTGTTTATGGCAGTAAGGATACAGAAACTGATATTGTTTTAAAGGGCGTGGTATGTGAAACTTACATTGGTTCATGGCTTCATGCAGTTTTTGTCTCCTTGATGTTAGGAACTTGCTTTTTAGATTTTTACTTAGTGGCCTTTTCCGCCAATTAACTACAAATCTATTTCTTTTCTCCCAGGTGCGAGTCACAAATTTGCATGATGCCACAGAGCACATTGGCGAAGTTTTAAAACGTGTCAAGAGAGAGCACCTTGAAAGAGCATACAAGATAAAAGAGTGGTATGTCTCGTTTTCTCAAACACTCGTTCCATAAAGAAAGATTAGTATGATCACAAATAGGGAATTTCGCATGTCTTACTTGAATTGGTCCCATATGTGAACTCTGCTATGACAACCTTCGACTTCAAGATCTAGAGATGGAGTTTTGATCTTGTTCCCATTTCATGCATCATATCTGCTTTATTCATCTATTGAATGCCCTTTCAATTTAATTTTTCATATTTGTGAAGTTATATATGTTCGTCTATAATCTTAATTTTCAACACTAACTCTTCTATGTAAAATTTGTTAACTTTGGAAGGGTAATTAATAGCATGTAGGGTCTTCATTTTGAATGTTCCCACTTAAAAATGGATCTGGTTGAAATGGACTAGTCAAGAATCAATGCATCTAAATGTTATGTTGCTTTCCTTACCAGTTCATCTTGACAACAATGTGAAGGCATGCATGAATCTTGTTATCGATGTTTTCTTGTGCAATGGTTTTTTATCCTATCTCCATATTTGTTCTTTGAAGCATCATGGCAACAGTCTTTTCTCATTCTTACTCTTCTTTCATGACCTTTCTTTCTTCACCATGTTATTTCATTTGGTTGATCAAAGTATTTCAGCTACAATTGCAAATCCTAATCTAACGATATTTGCTTGTCTATAACAGGGAAGATGATAATGACTTCCTGGTTCAGCTATGCAAATTATCGGGCAAACTTCTGAGGGTAATTATTTATTTTGAGTTCCTTTAGCCAGTCTTTTCAGGGTACTATTGCAAAAGCATGATAAAGTTAGTTGAGGCTAATAATTTGAACACCATGCAAATTAGAGAAGGTTGTTCATGCAAAAGTTGAGTAAATAAGCAAATTTAAGATGAATAACAGAATGTTACAATGCTGGCTGATGTCTATTTTGTTAGTGCATCTCAAAGAAAATATACATATCCAAATCTTTAAACTTTAATCTAGTAATAGTTAGAAAGACGTGAAAATTTTGAAAGTGAAATAAATGAAACTCAAAACTGCCCCTTTTTTGGTTCTTGGAAGTTGGAACAAACCAAACCAATCCGCCATATTACACCCAGTGGTAGGGCCTGGGGGGATGGGATGCACTCAGATCTTGCCTCTACTCTTTAGTAGAGAGGTTGTTTATGTGAAGACCCTGATTTTGCAACACAAAAAGAAATACAATAATACAAGTGAGAAAAGTAGTGGAGTGTGTACAAACAAGCATCAAGTACAATGAACAAAAAAGGGAGCAGGAACACATGAGAAGGACATAAAAAGTAAAACAAACAAGGAAACATAACGCAGTAAAACTAAAACTACTTGGGCAGACAGAAAAACTAAGAACGTCACAGTAAAAAAACATGAAAAACTAAACTAATCGGTTACGATAAATTGGATCGGATTGTCGACGGAAGAGGGGGGGAAAGCTCTCCGTTCCTGGTTCTGGGGAGGTCCGTTTGATATCCAAAAACTGCTCAGCAACAGTCAGACAAGTGGGTTAAGGATTTACCCGGTGTGAGATATCACATTGTTCGAGGAACCCTTGAAACAACTATCAATCTATCGTAGGGCTCTATTGACCCAACTGCCACCTCTCAACCCCCTATTCTGTCAATGTTAAGCTAGAGATCTGCCACATAGCAAAGTTGTTAATGGCTCAAGGCGCACTTAGGCGCAAGGGGTTATTGGGGCCTAGGTGCCAGGAGCAGGCGTGAGGTGCGGGCCTCAGGAAATCTAGGAGATGAGAAGATGAGAAAACTTATTTAATCTTATGGTTTAACATGGAAAACTTATTTAATCTTATGGTTTAACAAGGTATTTAGTAACTCTTTATGAGGCACACCTAGGCCACAAGGAGCCTCAGCCAAGGCGCAGCGGTGCCTTAGCGAGCCTCGTGAATACACTGAGCCTTGACTTGAAAAATGCCCAAGATCTTGAGCCTTTTGAGCCACAGAGTCTAGGCACGCCTGCTTTTAACAACTATGCCACATAGGGGCTGTTTGGTTGCTTTTCGACGAACTCCTGTATGGATAAAGCTGTCTGTATGGGTTGGGAAGATTTTTGTTTGAGAGTTTTTTCATAGATGGAAGGAGCATGTTTTTTAATTCGGAGGGTTGGGTTTGGAAAAAACTTGTTTTTATGCATAAAGCTCCCCCTATAAGTTTACTGACTAGGCCACTTTTTATATCTTTAAACCACTACTGAAGAGTCATGTATAGCGGCCTGAATAAGCTGCGAGTCTCATTAAGCTCATTAAGCTGCTAACAAACAGACCCATAGTATGCTACCATAGTCCTTTCTTGTTTTTTGGAACACAGTTGGCGTTTTTGGTCTTTCCTACTCGAGTTGCATCTACATTATCAAATACATAAACATTTCGACTTCCAGGCCAACATTAAGCTTCTAAGATGGGTTTGGCAACCATAAGTTAACTTATTTTTGAGTTCGTCGAAAAAGCCCTGTTTTATGTGTGATAAGCTAGCTTTTTGAAACACTACTCCAAGTAGCGTTAATAAGCTTTCAGGTTCCCCCCCTCCCTGCTTTCTCCCATTTTGCCCCTTGTATTTTTTCAAATAATTTTTTAACAAATGTTTCTTTAGGTCATTTTATAGTGTCACATAGCTTATTGACTAGCTTATTGGCTAAGAGCACACTTATAAACCAACAACTAGCTTTTCAGCTTGTTTGCCGTACAAAGCTTAAAATAGATACGTAATGAGCAAAAGTATGCTAGTTTTCAGCAGCTGCCGCCTGCCTGTGGCCGTGATCGGTATTTATCCGAGAATCTTTACTAAAAGCTCGTGTTTTCAGGGAGGCGAACCTGATCTGATGACTGCTGCAAAGATGGTTTTACACGATTGGCAGAGGGGTAAAATACCCTTTTTTGTCCCCCCACCAAAGCAAGAAGGCACGACAGACGAACCCAAAGATGCTAATGTCGTGGAGAAAGATGTGGCGGTTGATGATAACAAAGAATTGGCAGCTAGAAGAACGATTGAARYTATTGTTTCGTCACAACAGCTAAAAGACGTTCCTGTCCAAGAGGATCTCTTCACCAAGAACGAGTTAGAGGGGGAGGATGCAAATGAACAAGAATMATAGATTTCCCTTTCTGGTGGTTTCGAGAAAAGCGTCGATCTTTATTTACCGCYTTTTGTCAYTCCATTTTAGTGGTTTCGAGAAAAGGGTCAAATCTTTATTTAGCGTTTTTATCGTTAATTTTGATAGATGATAAGAAAATGTTTCTTTGTAGTTTTAATTGGTTTGTATCCTGAACACATTCTCATATAAGTTCTTCAAGTCATGCTTACACTTGATGGTCGTTGTATTTGAATTTTAGCAAAATTTTGGTACAAAACAAAATATGGCAGTACGATCCACACAGCGTCCCATACTTTATTGGTATGAATCATTTAAGGGGGTGTTTGAGATTGCTTATAAAAACAACTTATTGACTTATTCCGAGTGCTATCAATAGAGGCACAAGGGTTTAAAGCGGGGCCCATACACACTTTGGTTGACATTTTCGCTCTTACTGGGTAAGATTAGTCCTTTCCATATTCATTCGACAAGATAATATGACTTGGTAAGTGTTTGGTAAACAGCATCTAAGTTTCTGAACATTTTGAGTGAAATTTAAAAGGTCAGAAACTTAGTGATCTAGAGACCAAGTATAGAATCACAATTTGTTTGATTGGTTTTTCGTTAACTCATGTATGGATAAAACTGTTTGAGTGAGTTAATCTGTCTATAAGGATTGAGAAAGGATTTGTTTAGAAGAGTTTTTTCATAGATAGAAGATGCATGCTTTTTGATTAGAAGAAACAAGTTCGGAAAAAACTTAGCTTTCTGCATAAAGCTTCTATATAAGCTTACTGAATAAGCCACTTCTTATATTATTAAGCCACTACCAAACAGTCATCTATAGCTTGATCGAATAAGTTGCATGTTATTTTTGAGAATTTGCCAACTTGTAGCCACAGATGCTGGAATTTCTTACATACAGAAGCTGTATATATAGCTGATTCATTATTTAGTATAAGTTACCGTTATGCAAGATCCTGTATCTCAACTTCTATCATCTGCTTCTTGGATCTACGAATGAAGTTTTGAATCACCACCACCCTACGAACCATTCGCCGATTCCGTATCAGACACAACTTGTTCGTTCATCGATCCACCCTTGCCGGTGCCACGAGTGTCTATTTGATCTTCTATGGTCATAGGGCTCCTAGTTATGAGTCCACTTGAAGGCTTGCAGCCAAGATTAGTACACGATGGCTCGTGAGTCAGGCTTCCCGGACTTTCAGAAGTCAGTCTAGGACCAGTCATAGGCGGAGGATAGACCGGTCTGGACTGGGGAGGATAAGCCGGTTCAGGCTGCGGAGGATATGATGGTTCTGGCTGGGGAGGATAGGCTGGTTCGGGCCATGGAGGATAAGTGGGTTCAGGCTGTGGTGGGTAGGCTGGTTCCGGCTGTGGTGGGTAGGCTGGTTCGGGCCACGGAGGATAGTTCGGTTCAGGTTGCGGAGGATAGGCTGGTTGACATCCTGCGCTAGCCTGGGGTGGATAGGCTGGTTGAGGTTGAGGATAGGATGGTTGGGGTTGAGGATAAGCTGGTTGAGGTTGAGGATAGGATGGTTGGGGTTGAGGATAAGCTGGTTGAGGNGGTTGAGGATAGGATGGTTGGGGTTGAGGATAAGCTGGTTGAGGTTGAGGATAGGATGGTTGGGGTTGAGGATAAGCTGGTTGAGGTTGAGGATAAGCTTGGCCACACCCACAAGAAAGACAACCATTTTGACAGTTTGGACCCGGGATCTGGGGCCCACAGGAAGGATGACCGCACGCCACTTGTTTGCCGCCGAAGCTCGTAGGTTCGTCGCCGGGAGATCCATCTGTAGACACAAAATCTGGCGACTTAGGAACGCTTGCAGTTGGTATTGATTCTTGACCGAGTCGTCTTTCTAATTCGTTGTTCTCGGTTAGCATGATGTCGTCGGAGATGAGTTTACGAGCTGAGCCCGAGCCATAACTTAGGGTCAGTATCAAGAACAAGAATCCTAGGGAGACACTGTTCGGTGAAGCCATATTTAATTTTCTATGCATTTGGATTTCGATATGCAAGATCGTGAACTTATATCGGGCAAACACATTGTTCGGGTGTCGAGAAAGAGATACGTGAACGACTCTAGATCGTATGACATGCGCTCGTGCCCGTTTTCGGTAGTTACATTTAAGTACTCTTCATGAATTTTGTATGTTTATTTGAAACCAAAAGAGCTCATGTTTACTGCATTGCAACACTTGAAATCACATACACAAGTACTCATCATGAGCCATTTTGTACTTGTATTTTTGGGAGGTTTCGTGAAATGTAACATACTTTGTCTTGATTTCTATTTTGGGTAAGCTACTTTCAAAATTTTTATTTTGGTACCTGAAAAATAAATTTTCAAACTTTTAAGTATTTAGATAACCGGTTTAAAAAATAATCGGTTACCATGCTGATGTGACAAGTGACTTGTAATACAACTAAATGTTCTTTTTGATAATGTAGCCAATTGATATGAATTTTTAATATAAAGTTAATTTTAGATTAAGGGGCCGTTTACCAAACGCTTATCCGGGTAAGCGTTTACCAAGTCACGTTACCTTACTGAATCAATATGGCAAGGACCAAGAATATTACCCGGTAAGAGCGAAGACAAAGATTGAGAGTCTTACCCGGTAAGTGACGGCAACTTACCCGGGTAAGTGTTGGTAATTGGTAAACAGGCCCTAAGAAATGACAGATCTCTTCGTCTACACACGTCCTCCTCAATTCAAATCTTAAGGGTCGTTTGTTTACCTCTTAATAGTTCCATTAAGAGGCAACATCTGAATCGTTAAGAGGTGAATCTTGTTTGGCAAAAAAAAAAAAAAGTTTGTCTCCTGATGGTTCTAAAATTCTCTGAATGATTTTGTATCCTAGGCCTCCCTTAACCATTCAGCGCCCTAATTTCATTATACACAAATATATTTCATTTTGCATTATATCATTAGAGCCTCTTAATTATTCTAACCACTTAATCATTCTGCACCAAATCATTCAGCAACTGCTAAACATCCCCCAAGAAGGAAACTATTCTTAGATCGAGAGACCCGAAGTAAAGAGGTGGTGAGATCTTGATGTTGACGAAGAAGATGAAGATTGATGGTGAAATTGATGATCTGGGTTTCGTTTCTTCAATCTCGACTTGTGTTAACAAACGATGAACATATTTGAATCCGGATAATATGAATGAGGAGTTGTTGAATATGAGTTCTTGTAGAACTTTTGAAGTTGGAAATACGAAGGAGGTTGGGGAAGATGAATAGAAGATGCAAAGATTATGTTTTAAAACTGAATTTGTAAAAAAAAAGTCCACATCATCAAAAAATAGTGACTTGTAGTCACTCGTCACATCAGCATGGTAACCGGTTTCTTTTAAACAAGTTATCCAAATACTTACTAGTTTGATAATTTATTTGTCAGGTACCAAAATAAAGGTTTTGAAAGTATGTTACCCAAAATAGGAATCAAGATAAAGTATGTTACATTTTCATGCAATTTCCCCTATATTTTTTTCATTATGTATTCAACTTTATATTTTTGTGATGCATTGTACTAGAGATGCACAAGACCCAAGCTAGTCCGGACTTTTTTAGGCTCGCGCCGGTCGGACTGGAAGTGGGCTCGATCAAGCTTTTTCAGGCTTGACCGAATATTTTCAAGCTTTTTTCAATACTAGACTCTTTCGGACTAGGCCTGGACTCGGGCTTTTTCAAGTTAGCCGTAAGCCAAGTTTCGGACTTGCGTTTTTTCGTGTATCTCTATAACGTACCATTTCCAATTTGTACCGATCAAAACGATCAATAGCCAAATACGTTCGTAAATAAACTTCATCAACGATTAATATTGGTGACTGATTTTGTCTACCAACTATAGTTAATATGATACATGGTTTAAGATAAAACTACAAAAGAACATTTGGCCAAGCGGTATATGAGTCCTTAGCCTTTGACCTAAGAGGTCAAAGGTTCAAACCTCACAAAAGGTGAGCAGAATATGTAAGTTTATTTGTTCTATTTACTGACAGATTTGAGCTTCCATGTTTAATGCCGCCATCTGAGAATGTCACTTCCATATACAAGAACGCCAGCTAAAAATTGTGAAAAGGTTATGTTGTTAATGAACTTCTCTCGTTTAATGTCATTGAGCAAAAGTCTTTAAAAATCTAGCAAGGGCCACTCGTGTCGCACGAGACATCTCTTTTACAGGGTACTCGATGATGGTATCACCACTACCACTACGTTTCAAGTATAATCAATTTCACGTAAAAAGAACCAGCCGTAAAAAACCGAAGACTATTCTCATGTGCTAACAGGCGAAAGGAGATGCAATGCTACAAAACGAGCACGGGTTCAATGGACCGAGCAGCATCGTGAAGCTTCTTCAATTGACAAGTTTTCGACGGACCTATTCACATAGGAAGATCAGGATCCAACCTTCTTTGAATAGCAGTCGCCGCCTGTAAATTCAAGAATAACAAACGCCAATCATTATTTCGACATGCAATAGGGTTTGAGCCTCTAAGGGTAGGATGTAAGCAGACATTGCCTCTACAAAACAGGTAAAAAAGAGGAGGTTTATATTAAAGACCTTGGCTTGCAAAACAAATATTAAAAGAAACAACTAAGGGGTTGTTTTCCTTTCTTAAAGGGTCTGTTTATTAGCAACTTAATGACACTCGCAGCTTATTCGGTCAGCTATACATGATTGTTTGGTAGTGGCTTCATGATATAGAAAGTGGACTATTCAATGAGCTTCTTGGGTAGAATATTATGCAGAAAGCCAAGTTTTTTCCAACTCTGTCCCTCCCAATTAAAAAACACGTTCTTTTCACTTATGCAGAAACCCTCCCAAACAAAAACCTTCCCAATCTCTAGAGCCAGATTAATCCACACAGACAACTTTATCCATACATGATTTAATAAAAAACCAATCAAACAACCCTTACATAAATTTGTCTGTCTGAGGGAGGCAAAAAGGGAGGGTTGGATTATGTTTTAGGGCACTTCCACACTTGTGGTATTAATTTGTTTGAGATGGCTTAACGGGGATAAGTGAGGGGTCTTGGCTTGTTCCATATACTGATTTTGGCTTAATGGCTTAATGATTAAGCCGTAAGAAACACTCTTTCTATGGCTGAGTGAAAAAGTAGCCCAGACACAGTATATGCAAAGAATTCCAAACTGGGAATCTTCACCCTATGTAAAGTGTGTTACATTTGGATGCCTTTTACTAAATTTTAAACTGGAAATATTTTTGATACTCACCTCGATGTTGCCAATTTTGAATAAGTAATTCATCTCTTCTCTCAGTTGAGCTTGTTCTTTCATTGCTTGTGCCTAAGAATCGAGAGGATGTAGATAAAAATAAGTCCCAATTTCATATTAGGAAAACCAAAATAGAATAAGCCGACATAAAGGAACATATGTACCATTCCGCTTTGCATAGAGCGCTTCAGTGCTTCTACCTCTGCTTCTTTCTGTTTCTCACGCTCTTGCTGCAATTCTAGCCTGAAAACAGAACATAAACGTGTCGAGAAGATATCGACTTGTTAACGTGACGATGAATCTGAAGCACATGTTTACGCAACAAACAGAATCAACTCTTATGTATTGAACCCTTGTTCATTAGTCAAAATACTCCTCCGTCCCAAAATAATGGCCTATTTGTTGCAACTTAATGAGCTTAATGGGGCTCACAGCTTATTCGGTCAGCAATACATGACCATTTGGTAGTGGCTTAATTATATAGAAAGTCATGAAGTTTAAAGGGGAGAGCTTTATGCAGAAAGCCAAGTTTGTCCAAACCTGCCTCTCCCAATTAAAAACATGCTCTTTACATCTATGAAAAAGCCTCCCGATCTATACAGACAAATTAATCCAAGCAAACAGCTTTATCCATACACGACTTAATGGCAAACCAACCAAACAGCCTGAAGTGTCCAGATTTCTTATTTAGTTTGTCCCAAAATAGGCAAGTGTTTCCTTTCCAATTCTACCCTTTTAATTATGAGATGGAGACATTCATTACTCGTTCTATCATTAAGGGTAAAATTGTCATTTAATTAACTGTAAACTGTAATAGTTACACATTTCTAAAACCATGTGCCTTTTTCGTTGAGGACATTTATTTATAGACGGAGGGAGTGTTATCTAAGCAACAAAACTAAGGTCACTAGGTTCCATAATGACGAGCAAAGCAAAGAATCAGAGACACATTTAAACATACCGGCGTTGCTCTTCATCGTCAAACACCACACGTTCTGTTTTTGCAGCTTTCATGGAGCCTTTTTTCATGGCCTTCTCGATTTTCCTTCGGTGATAAGCATCAAGGCTATAATATCTGCAGCCGTTAGATATAAACTTTATAACCTTCAACACGGTTGATCTCGGACAGGCAATGATGAATAAGGGAACATTTTTCAGAGGTAGGAACATCAAATTATAGACGACAAAAAGAAATCATAGAAAATGGCCATCCAGGGAAAAATAGCTCGAGTACTCAGACTTGAAGTGGGTTCAAAAGGTCAACTTTATGGGGGTTTTACTATTGATTTCCATATATCGTGTATGACATTAGCTCAAAAAATTCGTTAACCCTTAAAATGCTGAAAACCAAACTTCAGAACCTGAAGGCAGCATATCCAGAATGGCAACCATATATGCACAAACATTGAGAACAGATTTAACGGAAAAGAAGGCAAAAGTTGTGAATCTTTGACTTACTTTTTAGAAGGAAATGTAGCTGTGTTATGGTCCTCCATGAACCTGTACAGATACTGAGGTCAGATAGTCTGATGCATTTAGTAGCCTTGATAAAGATGAATAGAAAAGGTAAAGATTTTTTTTGGATTTCCATGAATTACGCCAGCATATTTTCGTTTAAAAGGTGGGTAATACCAATAATAAGTGTAAAACATACTGTTTGAACATCTGCTTCTCTTCCCAGTTGGGCAGACTTTCAAGGTTCACCTGTAAAATGAAGATTAAAGAACATCGTCTAAAATTAGCATGTGTGAAATCATTTAGCAAAGGATTCAAACTCTTAATAAGAAAGTGTGCCAAGTGAATACCTGTTTCACTTCTGCAAGCCATGCAGTGAACTCGGGCCGCTTGTTCCTACAAACAAATATAATATCACGGAAAGAAACCAAAGAACTAAAGGAGTTGCAGAAAAAGTTACACCATCATGTATATATTCAAGTTATTGACCCTTTTATATTTGTCTTATATGTATCCGACTACCCATTGTCCAGCTTAAACATAAAACTAATCTCCTGTCCACAGTCAATTGCAAGAATGGGTAATTATATCAGATACAGGACGTTAAAATATCTGACCTAAATACAATGAGATATGCACAGTGCAACCATGGTTTTGAAAAGCGGATGAGGCACGGAGCCTCTCAAGGTTTAATGGCACGTATGCCTTGGTTGACTGAGGCAGTGAGGCCATGAGGAGGCGTGAGCCTCGGTTCACAACTGCTATTTTAATTTGATAAAAGACGAACTCTAAATTTATGTATTCCCAAGTCAAAACACACACTCTCTCAACAGACCTCCCTCTCTCGTGCGATTGAATTGATGTCCTCCCTTCTCTCAGCAATCAAATCGACCTCCCTACTCACGCTTTTTTATACATAAGTTCAAGATATGTTGTTACTATTGAAAAAAAAGGCAACTTGTGCTTAAAAAGAAATATCATTTGAATATAAAGAAATCTTGGATTTGGACAAGCCTAAAAGGAAGTACAATTTAACTGAAAAGGAAGTACAATTTAACTGAAAAGGAAGCCTGGGAACGGAACAGAAACCAGGAGTAACCATATAAAGATAAAGTGCTTTACTAGTAACCTACATTCACTTTTCTAATTGGTATACCACTAAATTATATCAAAATTTCAGTGAGATCACTTGATCCCACAAGGCACGTTGTGGGTCCACCACAAAATTTTGGACAGGATACACTTTGATGTGTTTCAAAGCTCTGTATTATCCTCAAGACCTCGACAGCTAAGCCCATTGTTGACCGATAGTCATTATATTTCATGAAGGATTGCTGAGTATGTAAAGTACAGACTTGAAGTAAGAGAAATGTCACAATTTCAAAAAAAGATCATTTGAATTTGGTTTTAGAGAAGAGACAAGTAGCGTACATATTGCCAAAGAAACACGGAAAAAGAAAGTTAGATAATCTGACAATAAAAAATGTTGATATGTTAACAGTATTAAACTCAAAACGAGGGTTGAAGGCTTAAATTCTTCCACGTCAATTCTACTGCTGAATGAAAGAGAAATTACCAAAAGAGAATCAGAGTGAAAAAGGGATTAATTTGAAAAATTACCATACGCCCTCCATAGCAGTTGCGACATAGGATAGGAGGTTATGCCACGTACATAGTTATGCCACATGAGAGCGAGAAGTTAGCAGGACAGGTGACAACTCAAGAATAATCTTAGAATTCATTGCCATCAATCCAGGAAGTCAGAAACAGTGGCAGATCATGAAAGCATGGGCTGGGGCTTTGGAATCTTGAAAGTATAAATAGAACTATGGAGGTTGGAAACTGAAAACTCTGTAAACCCTACCAAAATACCAAAGAGCAGGTGGTTGCCCCTCCTTTGCAAAGTTGTTTACAGTTCTGATTATTTCAGGAGTGGCCTTTAGAATTAGGCTTCTGGGACACATTTTCATTATTTCCTTGTATTCATTGTTCCGCTGTTTACCACTATCATGGCCAGAATATTCAATAGGATGTTTAGAAGCAAAGGCTGATAATGAAGGAAAATGTTATTATGCTAATCCCGATATTGCTTTCCAATATTAAACACTTAATCTCTCTCTTCTTCTAAAAGCTTAATATCCAGTACTAGGTGCACATTGTTCAGAATTCAGAAGGACATTTCACTCCTCAAGAGATTAAGATCAAAGTAATAGTGACATGAAGACTAAAAAACAATTTAAGGTGGCATAGTCCACAGAGAAACCACCCCAAAGCCAAGTCACTATGGGATCTCCTACTACAGGTATGGCGCTAGCTAAACTCACTCTCCTGGGGCAGCAGAGGAAGGCAAGATTTATTAGGAGAATTAAAAGGAAGAGACCCTAAGCTAATACCTGGCTAATAGTAAGTTTTTCAGACAGGAAAAACTCAACAATATGCATCAACATCCTCCTCTAAAAGAAAGAACTTGGCTTTTAATAACATATTAAGATTTACCAGATTATTGAAAAAAAAACAGAGCATAACCACAGCTTATATGAAGACATGGTAATTTTCCAAACTAGTATTCAAACACCAAATCCAATAGAGCTTGAAGCAAGACTGGTGAAACACCAACAAACAAGCATCTGACAGGGAAAATTTGAAGATATTGGGGTCCATAGTTTACACTTCACCTGGACTTTCAGTTTAGTTTTCAAATCTAACAGAATACAGTAATACCTACCCTAGACTTTAAAATGGTCTTGGTTCCTGTAGTACAAACTAGAACCATACATTCTTATTCATGCATAGTTGGATTTTCTTCTAACAGCTATTCACTAACCAATTCATCCAATTTAAACCTCACCTGAAGCTGAAATGTGTACACCATGAGCAAACCCAGCTATACGACTATAACACTATCATTATCTTTTTCATTGATATCTTAATGCTTTGTCTTGTTACTGATTGTAGCCACCCTAAGTAACTAATCAGATATCATACCATATGTATGCACGTCCATGTCTGCAGTACTCTCTGAAATGGAGACCAAGACCATCACACCTGAAAACCTAGTCATATAATGCCTATCTGAATAGAAATGGGATCCTTTTTTTGTGTCTTCTAGGTTAAACACGTCTTACAGTTTCCCATTTATACCTACTCACTGTGAAACCCATCATCCCCTTTTTTGGCACTGAATCTCTCCGCCTTCAAAAACCCTCTTTTGGAATAGCAGGTTTACTATTACCTTACCAGATAGAATGCTGAAAATGAACACAATGGCAAGTAAACAAGAATCAAAGAAAATAAACTAAACACTTACCACATATCAGTTTCTCTAATAATCCCATACTTCCCCCAAGAGTCTGTAACAGCTCCCTTTTTCACCTTTTCTTTCTTCTTATCCTTCTTCTTCTTCTTCTTCTTCTTCTTTAACTTATCTTCCTCCCTCTCTTTCCTTCTCCTCTTCTTCTCTTTCTCTCTTCTCCTTCTCTTTTCTTTCTCCTCCCTTCTCTTCCTCTCCTTCCTCTTCCTCCGCCGTCTCTCCTCCTCACTCTCGCTTTCATGCTCTGAAGAATATTCCGAACTCCCCGTCTCCGATTCCGACTCCGACTCAGTATCGGAATCCGAGCTATCGTCGTCGCTGTAATCCCTTCGTGATTTCGTCCTAGACCGTCGGCTTCTCTTCTTCCTGCTGCTCCGGCTACCACTGCTTTTGCTTCCATGGTCGGATCCTGACGAGAGATCGGATTCGGTATCGGGTAAATCTTCCGACTTCCTCTTGGATTTATGATGATGATGAGGTCCTCTTTTAGATGAAGCTCCTTTCAGAACTCTATCATCGTCCGAGGAATCGCCTCGGTCCTTCGCCATTGCCGAATTTCTGAGACGAGGGTTTTGATGTGTTGCGGGAAAGAAAGGAAACAGAAAATCCCCCAAAAACCTAAAAACAATAAATTGTTGATCATTTTAAAAATTCCAACATCCTTTTTATGGAAATTAATAGAAATTGATTCTCATCAAATTCGATCTCTTAACGCAACTTGAAAATTCATGCAAAACACAAACATTGTGATGACTCTGCTTCTTTTTACTTTCATAATATTTAGTTGTGAAGTTTCAAGTGTAAAAATTGTCTTATGAAAACAGTTTTGTCTCACGTGAACCTCAACCCTCGATCTCTTAGTTAGGGTTGTACACAAAATCGTCACCGTGGTTGACCTATCCAACCTAACTCATAAATAACCCAATTAAACCTAACCACTCAAACCGTCAACCTGTTGGATCATTAATTAAAAGGATTGAAATTAGATTAGGCCTAACTCTAACCTGCCGTTCAAGGACGGACTCATAATTTTTTCAAACGGTGACATCATTTGACTATAAAAATAAACATATGGATTTTTTTTCCAAATGGTGGCACCATTTAACTAAGAAAATGACACTAACAGGATTTGAACTTGGGTCTGAGGTGGAATAAAAGTCTTGCAAGTCAACTATACCAAATAAAACTTGTTCTCATTGTAGTTTCAAAATACATAGTACACAACAAATTAATACGGTTGCATCTTTCACGAACTTAATTTTTTTTACCTTTTGACGGATGAATAATACGGTGACATGTGCCACCGTATGCTCCATACCAGGTCCGTCCCTGCCGCCACTAGTATATAACTTTATCTATATGCTTATATAATATAATAATTAAAAAAAAATACCAGTTTATTTAGACAAAAAATTAATAGTTTATATATATATATATATATATATATAGGCAGATTCAAATGAAAACCATGTTATTCTAAAAAACCGTGTAAACCAAAATCAACCAATAGGAAAATTCCATTCTTTTTTAATTAAATTTAATTAATAAGGTCATTTTGGTCATTTTCATTATTTTTTTCATAAATAAAGAAGTTATTAAGGAATATTAAATAAGAAAATTTAATAATATAAATTATATAAATGGAATGATTTAAAGATTTTAATATTTTATAATATTAAAAATTGATTTATTTATTTTTATTCAATGAAGCTGGAAACATTCATGAATATTTTATCTTGTTATGTACAGAATGAATGATTTGAGGTTCATTGTATCAAAAATTACCGGTTATGAACCTGTTTCATATGAAAAGGTTTTAAAATGAAAAGTTTCATATTACCATAGCATAATATATTAATGTTCATATGAAAAGGTTTCATTACGAAGAAACGGTTGCATATTATATTAAATGCATAATGAAAAGGTTTCATAATGATGAAACATGTTCATAATGAAACTGTTTCATAATGAAAAGGTTCATATGGGGCAAATTTCATGAAACTGTTTCATAATGAAAAGGTTCATATGGGGCAAATTTCATGAAACTGTTTCATAATAAAAAAGTTCATAATGATGAAGCATGTTCATGATCTAATACTCTAGGCATATTGTCCAAATTAATACTCTAGGCATATTATCCATTTTAATGAAAAGGTTTCAAGAAACTGTTTCATAATGAAAAGGTTCATAATGATGAATCATGTTCATATGAGTGGAATAAGTAAAATGAACTATCGATGCAACAGTTTCATCAAAAGTTTCAAAACAGTTGAAAAATTGAAACAATATAATCTCTCTATTTCCTAATGAAAATATTGTAATGAATAGTTTCATAAACAACGGTCATGAAACTGTTTCAATGTGAAAATGTTTCATTGTAAAATGGTTTATTTGCTCCGTCTATGCATATTATACGTGTTAATGAAATAGGTACTTTGTGATTGAAGTTTCATGGTTATCCTTGTTGCTTTGTGATTGAATGTACATCTAGGTTCATGGTGATCCATGTTGCTTTGTGATTGAAGTTGATCCGTTTATTTGGTAGGATGAAAATGAAACTGGTGCGTAATGTATTGTGTTCTTTTATGAAATAAATATATGATGAAACGGGTGCATCTTATATTTTGTTCTTTATGGAATTAATATTAATGTGAAAATGTTTCATTATAAAATGGTTCATTGATGTTATATTAATGTTAACTTTTGTTTATGTAATTAATGTTATATTGATGTTAACTTTTGTTTATGTAATTAATGTTATATTGATGTTAACTTTTGTTTATGGAATTAATGTTATATTGATGTTAACTTTTGTTTACCAATTTGCCCTTATCATTGAAATAAAATAATTTTTTAATATTTTTTATTTTTTAATTTCCTAAAATAAAGTAAACTAATTATAGCCATTGATCAAGAAAATGGACGAATGAGATCGGTTTACACAAATGGGGCAAGTTTTTATTTGAACGCTCCTCTCTCTCTCTCTCTCTCTCTCTATATATATATATATATATATATAAATTGAGTTGTTTGTGGTAACTGTGAGAACCAATATTAACCACAAATCAATAGATAAATTAGGAATTTTATAAATTTGGTAATTTTAAATTAAAATCTTAATGCAAAGATATTTTTGGTATTTTAAAACTCTCATCTCTTCTCTCTCCGGCCACCGTTCTCCGTCCTCCGGCCATCGTCCTTCGGTGATACCACTATGATACCACTGTGATACCTAAAAATATTGACTTTGTTAAACAATAGATACATTGTGATATCTAATCATATATAAGATGCATAGTGATACCACTGTGTTACATCTTCGATCTACCATACAAACGACATCAATGTGATACCCAAGCACATATATGATGCATTGTGATACCATTGTAGTATCACTGGAGGAAGGTGGTCGGCGGACGGTGGCCGGAGAGAGAAGATAGGAGGGAGGAAAGTTTTAAAATACCAAAAATATCCTTGCATTAATATTTTAATTCAAAATTGCCAAAATTATAAATTTTCTAATTTATCTATTGATTTGTGGTTAATATTGGTTCTCACAGTTACCACAAACTAATTAGTTTTCATTTGATTAGGCCCCTATATATATATATATATATATATATATATATATATATATATATGCTTAATCAAATGAGAACTAATTAGTTTGTGGTAACTGTGAGATCCAATCTATTATATATATACTACTAGTATGTATATATATATGGGATCCTGGATTAAACCCCCCGACCTGTTTTATATTTGGGCATAGACAACCTACCCCTTTGCCAATTGAGCTAAAAGCCAAGACCATATTATTATAATGTTAAAATGATACTCGCATGATACAGTACAATATCTCTCTTTCTTCGTCATTCTTGAGCTTATTTTATAAAATATTATGTAAAACACACAATCAACGTGTATATACACATATACATTTATATAAGTTTTAGTATACACACACGTACAAGTGTATACATACGTATTTTTATAACAAGCCCCTAAAAAATAAATATACATCCTCTAAAACCCGTAATTGGTGATTTTGATTTGATCTCGAAATAGAACAGTACAACTTTTATACGACTAAGAAACATTTAAAACTGATATTGTACGTCATTTTTCGGTACCAAATTACCAATCTATCCAATAAAATCATGTACATACCAACATATTTTTATATGTTACATCTTAATAATTGAAGTGGCAAAAAGAAACTAGTTAAAAAATACGAGTATTTTATCATTTTACAAGTATAAACTGAGACGTGGTTTTGACGAAGTCGAGCCTCATATTAAAACATAGACACTACTGCAAGGATTCATCGAACACCATGAAGGTCTAACAATCACCAACAACAGTAGATTTATTACCACAAGAGTGGTGACCGATTGGTTTGACCATGAACTCCAAAGTCAAAAGTGTGGAGATCCCAAGTTCGAATCCAAGAAGAAACAAAAATTCTCTTGTGGTCACGGAGGTTCAAATGCGGGGACTCTGGGCTACCCGCGAAGCGGGTGGTCACCATAAGATTAGTCGGTTCGTATATCGGGTTGGATATCCAGGTTAATAAAAAAACAACAGATTTATGATTTTTGCCGAGTGAGTACACTCTTAGGTGGATCAAAGCCGCAAAGTTACTCGGTGTGTTTTTAGCCGAATCCCACTGTTTCAAATGATTTTTTAAGTTGTGGTTAATTTCAAATGACTTTTTCCCGGGGGTTTTTTTTTTTTTTTTTGATTAACCTGGACATCCAACCTATTATGCGAGCCGACTAATCTCATGGCGACCACCTGCTTTAGAGAGAGCCCGAAGTCACCGCATTTGAACCTCCGTGGCCACAAAGGGATTTTTATTTCTCCTTGGATTTGAACCTCCGTGGCCACAAAGAAATTTTTATTTCTCCTTGGAGTTGAACCTAGAACCTCCTGGTACTTTTAACCTTTGGAGTCAAGTTCAAACCAATCAGGCACCACCCTTGAGTTGACTTTTTCCGGTTTTTTGGTTGACTTTGAGAGACTTTTTCGATTTTTGGTTGATTACAAGAAGGGTTTTTTCAGTTTTTTGGTTGATGCTGATTGTATTTTCTAATATCCCAAAACATCCCTCAAAGTTTAGCATGTGTACATTTCATACCCAAAAAAATTCCAGCAGCGAGTGCCATCACTCCACTGGGGCCTTCATAAGTCCGCTCGGTCGTCAGTTAAAGTCTCCTCATAGCCACCAGGACTGTTATCTTCAAGATCCATGACATTGACTTAGACACCCACGATTTTTTTCTCATACAGACATAACATAATCATATAACTGCTTTTTGAAAGGGTGTACTAAGCTATGCCCAGATTAATCCCAGCAAATTGCGATCATAAGATAAACTCTGTGTAAACATTTTATCAAACAATAATTTCACTTTATCAAGATTTTATAAAGATGAAGCATCAAAATCAAATAAGAATGATTACAACAGAATAAGAAAGAATTACAATATCATCACATCCACATTATGTCAATGAATATAAAATTCTTCACCCAAAACTCAGAACAACAGAAGACACAACATGAAACAACAGAAGAAAAATATGGTTAACCTGTTAAGTGATTTCTCCACCTGCATTACTTGCCTTCTCACCCTCGGACTACCCGTGCCTGGAACAAGATAGGGGTTCTGGTACGATCTATAAGGATACGCAGCAAAGAAGCCCGAATCAGAACTCCGAAAGATCATAGCACAGACCATTTCTCCAACCATTCCCACAAACGGGTTTGAAAAGCCGGTTGGTGTCATGGCCATGGGTCCACCTAGGTTAGATGGTCCGAAGGCATAGCTTCCAAATGGGTGCGGGTGGTTCATGATCTGGGGTTGAGGTTGAGTCTGAGGCTGAAAAGGACCAGGATGGAACGGCTGATTCAGATGCAAAATCGAGCCACCTGGAGCTGATGGTCTGCTGGGAATGACTAGTTCTGATTGGTGGGTCGTTCTCCATTCGGGGTTTGATCTGGATTCGGATTCGGGATCAGATGATGGCAGATTGCCACGGCCATAGAGCGGAATTAGGGATGAGTTGGAGATGGGGGATTTACAAACAGGGCATTTCGGGTGTTTATCGGATTCAAGAGAGGCGTTTTGGACATGAAGCCATTTGTAAATGCAAGGCCAGCAGTAGAGGTGGCCACATAGGGTAACCACAGGGTCTCTTGCTGAATCCAAACAGATGTTGCACTCACAAAATCCTGTCGAATTTTCAGAATCTGATTTCATGTTCTTGTTTAGTGATGCGTCTCCTGAAGAATCGAACGGTGGTGCATGTTCTTCCAAATTCTGTTGGAAAGGCATTAGCACTGTAGAACTACAACTTGTTAGAATACATATATGTTATATAAAGAGTCGGATTCAAACGAGAACAATGACCAAATAAGAGAACAACCAAATCACATGTGATTTTACTAACTCGTGTAAAATCACATGTGATTACGCGCAACCTAGGTTGCGGGCCAAGTTGCACACGTGATTTTACTAACTCATGTGTAAAATCACATGTGATTACGCGCAACCTAGGTTGCTGGCCAAGTTGCACACGCCCTTGAGTTGACCATGTTTCAGAATCGCATGTGATTTCAGTGCAAAATCACATGTGATTTGGCCAGTTCTCGTGTTCCTTTATTTGGCCTATATTCTTGTTTAATCCTCCCTCTATAAATAAATATATATATATATATAGAGAGAGAGAGAGAGAGAGAAAATGTGTGTGTAGAGTAATAATGTGTAGCAACTTGTCCTATCTCCCTAATTTTTGTTCACCTATTTTGGTTTGGTTTGTTTGCTAAGCAAGATAGGACAAAACAAAAACATGTTCCATATTTGGTGCAACGATAGACCGGACCCTCTATAGACATATGTATATATATATATATAGAGAGAGAGAGAGAGAATAAAGTAATAACAGGTAGCAACTTGATGTCCTATCTCTCTGATCTTTGTTCCACCTATTTTGGTCTCTTTGGTATGTGAGATAAGACAAAACAAAAACATATTCCATGTTTGGTGCAATGATAGACTAAGTAGGACAAAAATGCAGATCGGAATTAAAATACCCATGGCAAATTACAACCCTAAAACCTTCCACAATTCTTTCATCCACCTACCGCACCCTCACAGCAAATCACCATACTAGTGATTTGGTATATTATATAATTTGATCAAGAAACAACAGAGTTCTACTTATTTTATTGTAAAAAGACAAGGGATTAAGCCATTTAACCGACACAATGAACTGTCCGTCATCCGGGAGAAGATACATATGCATCACGTTGGACAAAGTCACCAAAACGCAAGAAACAATGGAGCTTTACTTATTTTTAATTTAAAGGCATGTGACTAAGCCATCCCATACAAACAAGAAAACACGGAAGTATCGTCATGCCAAAACGTACTGAAATTATTTGTATTGTATAGGACAAACATAAAGGTCCAAAACCCACAAATTCAAAGAGAACATCAAATAGTACCCCCACCACCGTTCCGCATCCTACTCTACAAATTTCTCAAGATGAAGAATCCAACAAATAACATATCTTTCTTAACCATGGGTGTCCAGGCCAGTTTGCATGCACCTCGAGTAATCCCATGGGGCCTTGAAGATAACTGCCAGAAAAACCCAGTGGCCTTAAGAAGACTAGAACTCGCGAGCTATGGGGGAGTAGCCAAGGTCTATCATTTATTTGTCGGTTGAGCTAGCCCTCAAGGTTAATAAATAACATCTTATCATATCAAACGAGAGAATGTTTCCCAACGCATGCTCAAGTGTCAAGTATGAGTTTCCAAGGCAAAAAATGGATATCAAACACTTTTCTTGCCACAACCTCAAATTCCACATATGAGTTTCCACTCTTTCAAATGGGCAACAAAGACAAGAAGCATGTCATGGACCGTCGGTTTGACAATACTTAATTTAGTCTGGTTTATAGCTGGGAGGGGCATGAGAACCAACTATTCATAATGCATGATAAATATTCATGATGAATATCATGAATACGAATGATATATTCATGATGAATAATATCCATGTATGTTTATGTACGTTCATCAATAATATTTGGTTTTCATGGTTCTGAAAATATATATGGTTCCCAAATCAACTTTCTCCTAACAGTAGATGTTTGCTAAAGGAATCACCAAGGAAAGAGATAGGGTTCAAGAGCAAGAGCACTCGGTATACAAACTAACAATAAAACTTGTCTCTGGCCGTGAAAACTAAGAAAATCCAGAGTTCACATGTTGAATTCTATTAGATCCTGATAATAAGTAGGTTTAACGTGTAAAAAGACTGTACTTCGAGATCGTCAAGGAAGCTACTATCAAGACTCTACATCTAAGGCTTTTTTATGAAACTTCAACTAATTCAAACATAAACAAGAATTCAGCTGTTTAAGCTTTCAATTACACCTATCAACCACCATTACCATATAATGCCAAGTCAAAATTTGCAATATAGAAAACCAATTTTAATGCATTAAGTGTTTAAAAAGGCTCGCCACAGCAACCGTCGTGGCGCCCCGTGGCTCAAGGCTCATGTCTATCGCCACGTTAAGCTTGTGGCGCGCCATGGCCAATGCGTGTTTTTGGCATACGATATTTGATCATTTCTTTACCTTTGTAGTGGCTTACTCTTTAGTTTTAAGTATATAACCTAAATTATATTGTTTAATATCAGTGACTTATTAAGTAATAGTGGAAAACATACGAGTATATATATAATTATAAACATGGCATGGTTTCTGAGGTCAAGCCTGCCATGCCATACCATTTAGAACCTCCAATACGTTATAGCTTTGAATCATACCCACAATGCGATTGTCTGATTAGTTCATAAACATTCATCAAACTGTTTGGGAATTTCAAGTCATGGGTAATTGATTTCAAGTTCTTCTGAGAAACTAACATCATGAATCACCGAGTACGCATGAACTAAATTCGATTTATTCTTAGGAGAAAGCAAATGAATATGTACTAAATGCGATAAACACATTCACATAGAACAAACCCTAAAAATCAGAATTCTTTTTAGGCGACACTGAATCAAATTAGAAACATTTCGTTTGATCTCTACACAATAATAAACCAACAAAAGATCATGTAAACCAAACCCGATTCCAGTTCCGTTCATCCTAATTTCAGATAAACCTAAAATAGTAATAAAAAAAAAAACTGATCCAATACCTTCAAACATTGATCTCAGTTTACAAATACGAACAATATGAAGCCACAATCGTTAGAGAAAACAAACAGAATCTAAGGTTGGAGGCATAATTTTATAAACAATAAGATCACAAGCCAACATTCATGAACGACGAAAGATTAATAAGATGAAGACGAACCTGGAATTGTTTTGAAATGAATCGATTCAGGAGTTGAAGATACGATTGAAGAGGAAATTGGGTGAGGAATGGATGTGAAGTGGAAGGTGGGATGATAAAAGAGGAAGTTTAGGTGTAAAGTTTATGGTCCAATCTCAATGGGCAGTGCCTCTTGTTTTCAACAGGATCCATTTCCGGCGATTTAATCCAAAAAAATATTAATTTCAGTGTTTAAGATTGCTTATAAAAATAATTTATTGACTTATTTTGATATGACATAGGTAATAAATATTTTTGAGTCTTTAGATAAATAATTTATATTTGTATCAAATCCGTAATAAGGAGTTTTGAATAAGCTAAGGGGGTGTTTGGGATTGTTTATATGAAACAACTTATGCTTTTCTACAAAATCACTTATCAACTTATTATAAGTCAGAAAAGTTTAACTTTTTCAAAAAAAAATTATTATCGGTTTGACACCGGTATAAGTTGTTTATCCAAACACTCAAAAGTGTTTATTACCAGTGCCACATCGGAATAAGTCAACAAGTTGTTTTTATAAACAATCCCAAACACCCTTTAAATCACTCTAACTTATAATAAATTGATAAGAAATTTTGTAGGAAAGCTAAGTTGTTTCAAATAAGCTATCCCAAACACCCCCTTAGATCATCCCTAACAATGGCTTTTTTAGAACTGTGATTTTTGTTTTAATAGATTTTTTAAAATCAAGAAAGTACAAAAAAGAGGATAAAATTTTCCAAATTTGGAGGGTGTTTGGTTCAGATATGGGACTGAAAATGAGAATGAATTTTCATTCCCCTAGTTTAATCTGAAATGAAAATTTGGGTTCCTAAGGGAATCAAATTTTTTTTCTTCTGTTTATGTAAGATATTTTAAATTAAATACCACATTCGATCCAAAATGGCTCATGTTTAACAAAATTACAACATGTTTCCAAAATTTTGCTTTATAGAGTATCAAATATTCATATGTTAACAAAATTACAACATTGTACGTAATCGTTTAATTAGACGTTTTTCGGCTCTCCATGTTTTTCATCTAAAAATAATAATAAAACAAGTTAAGAAAAATGTATATAAGATGAAATGTCAAAAATACTATTTCTAAATTTAGAAAGATACTAAATCTAATTCTTTTATTAATAATGTAATTAATAATAAATATACGATATATATTTGATATACGAGGACGTGGCGGGGGGGCGGGGATCATGTTACCCGGCCTGGCCCCATTCCAGTCCCAGATTTTGTGGGGAATCTCGTCCCCGTTGGGGTAATAATTAATATGATTGAAAATAAAATAAACTGTTTAATTTTATTTATATTATATTATAAAGTATTTGATAAAAAATTTAAAAACTACTTTTTATACATGAAATATTGTTTATTGATGTATGTTACTTAAAAGTCAAGATTACAAGTAAAATTTGTATTAGTACAACTTAATTAAGTTTCATGTTTAAATTTATGCAACTGACTATAGATAAATATAATCAAATAGAAGAAAAATATTTCATTTTAAATATAAAAAATATAAAATATAATTAGGATAATCATTGAGTTCTAACAGAATATCTAGGTATCTTTATAAAAACTATATTATTAAATCAAAAATAAATTACCTAGTCATTAAACATAAATTTAATTATAATTAAAAGTGAAATTAAATAAATTACACAAAAACAAGAACTTTTAAATAGTTTATTTGATACTTAAATCGATATTTTTTAAAAGAAAATATGATATATTAAAATTTATATTTTATTTAAAAATAAAAACATTATCGCTTTCTCAAAACCACATAAAACCGTATTATAATATCGACAGAATAAAACGAAACATTAAAATCAAAATGTATCTCGCAATATTATGTCGATACCTTTAAAATCTATACTATATTATAAAACATTTGACAAAAACTCTTAAAAATAATTTTTTATGTATAAAGTATTGTTTATTGATGCATATTACTTAAAATTCAAGATTACAAGTATAATGTGCACACATCTTATTAAAGTTTCATGTTTGAATTCATATAATTAACCGCAGTTAAACATAATCAAATACATGATTAATATCATTGAATTAAGTGAGTCATTGGCCTCTTAAGAGGTCAACAAGGGTTTAAACCTCACCAAATATGAAGAGGGGGTGTGAGTTTTTTTTTTTTTTTTTTGTCGTAATAAATATTATATACTTCAAAAAAAATGATTTATCAATTCAACTACTTTTCATAACTTTTTCCAAAAGTAGTTGGTTTTTACATATATGATGTGCTAATTTGTGTAAAGACTGGTTTATAGAAGAAAAAAATATGTAAAAAAAATCATTTATCTAAAAATCAAGTTTATACAATCGCATAAGATATTTGCTCAAACTTTAGTTAAAATAAGAATTCAAATAAAAAATGGCTAAAAAACAAAAGTTGGTTGAAAAAATTGATTATTTTAATTGATTTAATTGGGTATTTGACTTTGAGATGGTAAAAAACATGATAAACATTTCAAATGGTTTTATAGAACATGTAAAGGGTATTTTGACTTTTGGCATCCAAGAAAGAGAAAAAAAATGTCATTTGACTTTGGAGCCCGAACTATAATCACGGAATTTATCAAGATTTCAGTTTTACATTTTCTAGATATGATTGCTTATTTGAAACAACTTATATTTTTTTTGTTAAAGTGTTATTATAAGTAAGAATGATTTAACTTCTTCAAAAACTTCTTATTATCGGTTTGACACCGGTATAAGCTGTTTATCGAAACACTCAAAAGTGCTTATTACCGATGTTACACCGGAATAAATCAATAAGTTGTTTTTATAAACAATCCCAAACACCCCTAACCTTCGTTCTCTTTTCATAAGGTTATTTTTAGAGAGAGATTAAAAAAAATTCCACATATTTAACATTATACTAGAGACAAGGTCTAACACCATCTAAGAACATAATACACTCTCTTGCCTTTCATTCTTGGGTACTATGCTATAAGTTAAACACATACCATAAAATAGTCAAATCCCTCTATCTCTATATATATGTGTGTGTGGAGTTTCAAACACAAAACTATGAAAATCTTACAAATCATATAAACCAATCTTAACCGTCAACATAGCCTGCTAAATATTTGGGGGTGTTTCATAATTTGAAACAATGATCACAATAAATGAACCTTGATCATCTTCCAAAAATATCTCAATTGTTTCCTAAGGCTAAGGATCATGTGAGATGGAGAGTTATGATAAAAAGCATAAAAAGAATCTCCACCTTTAATCTCAAACCCACCCATGAATCCCGCTTGATATGGGTATTGATCTGGTGCATCTCATCTTAATGTGCATCCAAGGGTGGAGATCCCTTCTTACGCTTCTTACTTTAACCCTCATTTTCACTAGAACCCAACCCTGTTTCCTAATATAATAAGATTTATATAGTTTCTAACAATTATATGGTTTGTATTTGAAACATTCTCTATGAACCTATCATTTTTCTACGAAGGATCTCAAACATGTATATATAGTAACCTTAAATAAAAGCTCTCAACATATATATATATATATATATATATATATATAGGGCCAAGATCAAATGATAACCAATCATTTTGTGTTAACTTTGTTCACCTATCTCAACCAATCAAATTCCTTCATTGTTGTAGGTTGATGTATTGTCCAATCTTTACTTCCAAGGGTAGTTTAGTCATTTGGTTATCTATGTAACCCCCAAACAATTAATGGGGGGTTACAAAAAAGCATATCCCAAGAAATAATCATTTATTTAATTAAT